AAATCTATATTTTATTCGAGAGATGTATTACTGCTTGATTTTTAATATAAAAAGTACCATCCGTTCGGTTTTTCAACTTTCTAAAAATATGTGCCCCCCCCCCCCAATGACTTGCAACCTTAATTTTGGCCCGCGAGCGACAAGAGGTTGCCGACTTACTGTTTCGATCACGCTACCCCATTGTGTTGTCACATGGCTTTGGGGCCTGTGATATCACAGACATAGTCCAATTGCTGCTAATAAAAGTGAACTAACTGCAGAGGCGTAGTTGACGCTTCCTATGTGTTTATTAGTATAGAAGGGAGTTACAGTAGGCAGTTTATGAAGTTATGTCTTTTCGCTTTTAAATTCTGCTTTACAACGAAACAAGTGCACCCATCTCATTAAATTTCGTCATATACTTTTGTTCGTTTTAATGTTTTTGAACACGTAGTGGACATAGCGATCGTTTCAATATTATGTTGTTGTTTTTGTTATTATTCTTCTCCTTCGTCATGATAAAATCGCTTTTCTCTTGAAATACTGGACCAATTGCTCTGAAATTTTCAGTGGTTAAAGATTGACTTTACTTTTACTTATTTAAAAAAATTTTGTGGATTCGTCAAGAGAATCTTTTTTTTTTTCCAGAATGAAAAATAGCGATACCTTGTGACGTGAACGTTCTGCATACATCGGACGCCATTTTGTGTCCAACAGAACTGCTCACTTGGTGTGAATATATTTGTAGATTGTGATCTGACGGTACGGTAAACCGTACTGTACTGCGAACAGACGTGTCCATTTATTTGGGCGTAGCTCTCTTGTTCACTATCATAAATCATAAAATAAAATCATAAATAAAATTGCAAGGGGTCCGACATGGAATTTTTTTGTGGAAAATTTTCGAACTACTGTACTAGATGAAGGAGAGGCAAATGAAGGAAAAGAAATGCAAAGCGATTATAAAAATTTCTCACAGCAATTCGGACTAGATGAGGCAGAGGAAAATTACAAAAAAATAAAATGCAAAGCGATGAAAATCTCCTACATTCGCACGTACTAGATGAAGCAGAGGTAAATGAAGGAAATGAAATGCAACGTGATTTTAAAATTGCATTCTACAGTTTTGACATACACTGACATGGTCAGTAAAAACTAACGCGCAATCCCATCTCATATTGATTTATGATTGTGGTTCTCAATTTATAACCTTCGCCTATTTTGGAACTCGTTAATCCTCCCTCAGTGTGCACAAAACTACTTTATTTGTCCAATCTTTAATGAAATCTCAGCTAGTGTCATACGCAAGTCGCACTCTCGTTTTGTACAGTTTAACTTTAAGTAGTTTATAATGTGTAAATTAATAATTAAAGTATTTATTAATATAAATACTACAACGAATAGAAAACTCTGCCAATAGATGAGTCACCTTCACTTTTAAGTGAGTGCTCGTTACTTTGCTCAGAAGTGAGTCTACTTTGCTTCTGAGTGAGTGCTCATAACTTTGCTCAAAAATGAGTCTACTTTACCTCTGAGTGAGAGCTCGGCACTCTGCTATGAGATGAGTCTACTTTACTTCTGTTCGAGTGCGCGTAACTTTGCTCTGATGTGAGTTTAGTTTACTTCTGAGTGAGTGCTTGTAACTTGGCTCAGAGGTAAGCCTTCATTACAACAATCTTTAATCACTGAAAATATCAAAGCAAATGGTCCAGTAACAAAATGATCCATGAGTCTATTTCGTTTTCGTTCATTTCTGGATTATCCCAAAGGTTGTCACACTCAGCTGGAAACTTGATAACAACTTTAGGTTTTGCTCTTTCATGAATTAAAATATCACGTTTTATTTGAAAGAGAAATCTACCGCGACCTTCGACGGACACAAAAACAAGATGGCGCCGATTCAAAACTTTCGTCTGAATCGAATAATTTACTATTTGATTCGAAATGTCTAGTTATAATACCTTTAATTATCATCTGTATTTTATATCTAATTTACAGAAAAACGATGAATCTAGTGAGTTCGCCCTACTTCATGATATATTTTGAATTCAAATATACTTATTCTACTGGCCGTGAACATATAATGAACGTTACGCCTCTTATAAATGGACACGAAACGAACCTATGAATAGCTTTTTTAATATGTTGTTGTTGTTTCTTCTATTAATATTTCTTTTTAGTGGTTAAAAATTGTGTTTTCCAATAGAAAGCGTTTACATTTATTTATTTTAAAATCTTCTATATGGGAATCATTTTTGTGTGTGATGACGTCATCAAAATTAAAATTTGCGCATCTTGTGGCAGTATCGCTTCCGCGTAGGCTGATATCTGGTGCTGATGCAAAGTCGTGAAGACTGTGAACCCGGTAGTCTGCTGTGACAGATTGCATACCCGCACTACTACACTATGGCACATATATATATATGGTATCGCTCTTTTGTCAGGTAGTGTTTCATTTTCATTTTGAATCTGGCTCTGAACAACCATTCATTGATAGGTAGGACGGCACTATTACCTCGTAACATTACTGGGCTGGCATTGCATATTCAATTTATTATGCTATGGGTGATGTGGTCAGTGGCGTATCAACGTAAAATGACGCCCATGACAAAATTTGAAATTGCGCTCCCTTCGTTTGACTGGCAACTTTTTAACTGACTGTTGTTTGGTTGAGAGTGCGTTCATATTTGAGTAAAATTACAAATTTCAATTATTTCCAATTTGAAATTATTTTATTGAAACAATTCCCAATTAAACCTTCTAGCGTAACAATCTAAACGACGTCCATGGCATCTATACCCTACTCCACTGGAGGTGACCAGGCCTGAGAGCTTGAAGCTACGACGCCAACTCAGACAAGTCAAACCGCTCTAACAAAGAAAATAAAAATGTCCACTCATTCGGCTCTTAGAAAGAAAGTTTGGCAAAAACAATTCACGACGACAATAGTGTATGGATTATACTTTGCAAAAGTCGGGCGAAGTTAATTGAAGTGGTCAGCTAAAATAAGCTATGTACGTTAAAACGTGACTAAAACTGATTGAAAACGCCTTACTCTCACACAATTAAAATATGGTGACCGTACATTTGAACCCATGCGTATATCCACGGGTTCAATCTATATGCGGGTGCTAAAACCCATGGGTTAGGGTTAGTATGGGTTTAACTATCCGTGAAACAAGAATAATTCCATAGGTGCAATAGCATACAGGTGCAATTGTCATGGGTTCAAATGTACGTGGGTTCAAATGTAATGGAACCTTAAAATATAGCAATTATCTTGTCGCCAGACTGATAAAAATAGTCCTAATAAGAAGAAAAAATCTCAAAGTAATTTATATTTGTGATTTGATTAACGTATGTGCCACGATCGTCGCCGGGTATTGACCCAGTAACTAGTAGGTTAGGACTTCATCCACCTGCCATACATCTGAACGGTGGCGTATTAACGTAAAATGGCGCTCATGGTAGAGTTTTAAAATGCGCCCCCTAGATCGTTGGTTGACAATTTTATTAACATTTTTTATTGAAAGGGGATAACTTCTACGTTATTATTGCAAAAAATGTCAGGTTTTGATTCTTTATCATTTAGATTTATTTTATTGAAACATTTTACAGTTCAAATTTTTCACGGTTTTTGAGCCCCTATTCACACAGCGCCCATGGCACCAGTCATAACTGCCACACCCTAGACACGCCAATGCATTTTAACTTCTCATCAAACCGGAGTTGCCCCGCGGTTTTTAGTTTGTCGCATCAGCTTTCCGTTATCCGGAATTAGTAAAATACAGTATTTCAAATGTAATCGACAGTAAATTACAGTCATTTCTGAAGTAGTTTCGTTTTTTAAATATGAAATATTCAATGACCACAGTAATGTTTTTAGTTAAATGTGACTTCAAATACGATTCGAATTGCTTCCGAATAGTTGTGTATGATGCAGCCAACACCACCTTCAACGATGCAATTCAAATGGCCTAACCCTAACCTGGTACAGAAACTACGTTCCAGTGTCCACCATCTTGGTTAACATACTTTGGGACTACCAAGAATTAAATTCTTGCTTTTTATTACTTACTTCTATTATTCATATATATTATTAACCGTATAACCCATGCCTTGAATTGGTAGGCTTGTCTATTTAAACCTTTTGCCTGACAAATAAATATCATATCTAGTTTTATATTTCATGCGATTTCTGTACATAACCAAACATAATTATAAATTTGAGATTTTGGAATTTTCTTTGTTATTGTTTCGAACCACTAGTGATTTATTCATTATAGATGTACATACCAACCGAAGATCTGAGGAAGAGCTTGGAGAGATGGAGATTTTCACAAAGTTTACAGTCTTGAGGTGACACAGCTGGGATTCGAATTTACGATATCTTGATCGGCATTCTATGGTAATACCAACTAGGTATTGTCAGAAAAAATATCTCAACGGTAGTGACACTGGTATTAGATTCCACAATATCTGGTAGGCTATTAGATTCACGATAGATCTCTAGACTGGTTATGAATTAGGATAGGATAGGATTTACATATTTATCCCGGGGATAGGAAAGCCGATAAGACGGCTCATCCATATGGCGAACCACGGCTTCTCGTCCGGATACCATTCCAAGTAGGGTATGGGATCAGTTATATTGTTTGTTTTCGGAAGCATGGACCTGGTGGTGGAAGAAGCCGTAACCAACCAGCGGTTACGTGAACCACCCAACGACGGCGAGGAGTCCAGCAATCCTTTCGCACATAACCATCCCTGCATGAGATTCGAACCTGCGAACCCACGCAGAGTAATTAGAGGTGCGGTGGCGAGCGTATTCCTAACGCTTAGCCCGTTGAGCCACACCGCCGCGCCAGTTAGTTATTACCTAGCTATCAGTATTTTTATATGGCAGGCTGTTTAATGTTCTGAACAAGTTTTGGATGTGAACATTGGCCATTTTATAAACCCCAACTCGTTAAAAAAACACTCCGATAATTTTGCGATCTTTCTAGGGTCAAGGGTCGGGGGAAACGAACAAACTGCACACCATCACACTCGAGTGCGGTGTGTTTCTATCGAAATGGCGTCCGAGGAAACGTGTTTCTCACTGATATCCTGATGATAAGTCGGTACGAGTAACGTTGAAAGTTATTGTTTTCGGAATAAATCTTGCAATCTGTTGGTGAACAGGGCAACAAGCTAAAAAGTAAGTTGATTATGATTTTATGATATGTTCCGCTGATGCTCGACAGACCTGACACCGAAACATTGACCGACAGAGAACTGGATAATACTGGATGATGTTTACGAATATATTTGTTTATTATATGTAACTATGTTCTATGATTATTATTTTTTCATCATTTATTTATTTTTACAAAACTGTTATGAATCCACAACGTTGACCGTTGACCAACGTTGAAAAAAAAAAAAAAGAGAACTGAAGAAAGGGGTCTCATGTAGTTTCGTACCTAACATACTTCTGGTGGGCGTAGAATAACAATATTTGCATGTGTCAATCCTAACCCCCACCTGACTACGCTATCCAAAAATTATGTCTCTACGACGTCACAGTGACGTATACAGTCCCTTAAATTCTACGAACTGTCATCCGAGACGCGCTTGTCTGCGCACCTGAAATCGAACGACTAACCCCAACCTGACTACACCATCCAAAAATTAAGTCATCACGACTTCACAGTGACGTAATAGAGCCCTTGAAACTGCTAACTGCTATCCAAGACGCGCAAACGAGCACCCAAAATCGAACAGTTATTTCTCTCGTTTTCTCGTCGCAACGATTCCAATAGGATAGAGATCGATAACGCCAGTCAGTTCTTTATCGTCGGCGCCAATGCCATTTCGGGCGATTGTACGTATATTTGGCAAGCTCTATGACGTAATTGTGATGTCGTAGTGACGTAATTTTTGGATGACGTAGTCAGATGGGGTTTAGGATTGACATATCAAAAAATTGTTATGCTACGCCCACTAGAAGTAAGTTAGGTACGAAACTACACGAGACCCCAAAAACCAATATTTCTAACCCGTCAATTCTGCAATTTTTTCACCGTAGGTGCATTGGCATTTATTCTACACGCTAAACCTCGGATTAACTTTCTACGACTAGGGGTTAAAGCTATACAAACCACCAAAGTAGGACACTCGAAAGACATATTGCGACCGAACGACCAGTGTGCGACCACAGATTTCAAGCCTTGAACATTGTTTCTGCTGCGTCGAGACTAGAGCATACGCAGCCATGCATGAAAAAATTGGGCTTCTAATTGCATTTCTGACCGTCAGATATTTTAGGAACACGGTCATTTCAAACAAAACTCGTCAATTTATATACAAAGCACCGCATCACAGCAATCAAACAGACAAAAACATGGTGGTCGCAAATTGGTAGACAAAGATATTATCAACGTATTGGAAATGCGCACCCCCCTATTCCCCCTCCTTTAAATGTAGAAACACGAAAATTCAAAGATGGTTAAAAGAAACACAACTCTACCCCTTTGTCAAGTTTCATCTTTTTATCTCTTATATTTGTATGGATTTTCAAGTTTTTTTAATGGGACAATGGGTAGTTGGCGACATGAAAAAATGGTCCGTTTTTTTCGGTCGGGTTTTCGGTCGTAACTTTATTGTTTGTGGCCGCATTTTAGTGTGATTTTGCAGAGCTATGAGGGGACAAGTGGATGATAACGCGTGAGAAATAATGTCGCGGTTTGTTACTTTTTTTCGGCATTAATTAGATCAGGGGTGGGCAACTTCTCTAGTCGGCCGGCCAGATGTGGGAAAATGAAGTTTTCGGGTGGGGCTTGATTATTACAGGAAATACTTCGGTATCCAATCTCTGTTAAATGTTCGACACTCTCTGTCAAATTTATGTTTCTTGGGATATTCCATTGTTCATAAAACTTAGTATAAAATCTAATTTCTAAAATCTATTTATCTTTAAATTCTGAGTTTTAGAATATAAATATAACTGATAACAGTAGTGGGGGATGTTTACAACGCTCTCTGCTCTGACCTTATATTGTTTGTTTAACAAGTGTGCTAACGCAATTGTTTGTTCACTAAGGCAATTGTTTATTTCACCAGCTCGCACTGACAGTGCGGTGAGAGTAGAGCGATCGGCAACTTTCAGGAATGATACGTCGGACCACGTTACAGAGTGTGGTTGGATACAGTCAGCGCGCCGGTCAAAATCTCGTCCCGGCCCGCGGGCCGTATGTTGCCCACCCCTGAATTAGATCGATGAAGTTGATGGTCGCAAATAGGTCGTGGCCGCAAACTGGGTAAGCCACCCTAAGTGCTCAAATAACGCTAAACAAAAATGTGATTTGAAAATACAACCCAAATTATACAACCCGACCCGTTTATGGTAGTCATTATGAACGCAAAAATATACTATAAAGCAATTTTTCCAAGTAAATTGCTCCAACGCAAATTTTCACAAGGATTTGCCACAACATGAATTTTCACAAGAATTCGCCACAACGCCAATTTTCACAATGATTCGCCAAAACTCGATTTTTTAAACAAGGACCCGCAACAGAGCGAATTTTCACAAGGATTCGACACTGCACGAATTTTTACAAGAATACTTCTTAACACGAATTTTCGCAAAAGTTTGCTACAATTGGAGTGGCGGATCCTTGCGAAAATTTATGTTGTGACGAATCCTTATGAAAATTCATGTTGTGGCAAATCCTTGTGAAAATTTGCGTTGTAGCATTTTTTAACAAAAAAATGATTATGCAAAATTAAAAAATTAGAGAATAGGTGTACACATAACAGCGCTAGCCATAATAATTTTAACTGGCGAAATGCTGCGCTTTTTGTCAAGATATGGCCATTTAAAATCTTTGTTCGAAGTTTGGAACTGTCCGAAGTTAGGCACTTTGACGGTAGAGCACGTTTGCCAGGTCTAGTGTAGTAACCCACACCTGGCTGCTTCATTAAAAAATTACATCACAATGACATAATAAGGCCCTTCAAACTATATGAACAGTCATCCAAGGCGCGCAGACGATCACCCGAAAACGAGCAAGTTATTTTTCATGTTTTCTTGTCGCAACGATCCCAATATGAGAGGGCCCGTTACCGTTCGGGATCTCTTTATCGTCGGCGCAGATGCCAGTATGGTTTTTAAACAAAATAGCGAGGCGACTGACAGATTGGTCAAATAATTAAAAACCAGAATGATAAACTATTTGGATGGATGAGACCTAGTAATTGATTTTCCAAATGTTTATTGGCCTCCCTGATCTCCCTTGGCCTGGGTTAGGCAACCTCACACTTTCGCCCGACGCCGCTTCTGACTATATTTCATGTTCATTAATTTTTTCTATCTGTACTCATAATGGCATTTGGAAATAAATACCCGATTCAGCAATTCCAAACTGATCTTGTCGGCTCGTGTAGTTTGGTACCACAAGTAAGCTACTTCTAGTGGGAGGGGCGTAACCATTTTGTTTATGTCATTCCTAAACCCCACCTGACTATGTCATCCGAAAATTATATCACTACGACGTTACAGTGACGTAATATAGCCAACAAAATATACAGATGGTTGTCCTAAACGTTTCCTCGTCCTAACGAATCCTAAATAAGAGAGACCGCTGGCGTTGATGAGTTTGTTATTGTCAACGAAGATACCATTTTGGCCAATCGTAGTTATACTTTGACAAGCTCTATGGCGTGATTGTGACGTTGTTTTTGGATGACACAGTCAGGCGGGATTAGAAATACCATACGCAAAAATGGTTATGCCAAGCCCATTAGAAGTACTTGTACCGAACTAGTCTTGGTAGCTGTTGCCATTTTAGTGGTCACTCATAAATGCTCTCATAAGTCAAACTTCTCAATTTTTGAGTGAGTAACTTCGAGCAAATTTCTGTAAAAAAGCATTAGGCTATTTCTCTCTCGGTCAATTTTGACCATCTTGATTCAATTAATGACGTCACTGGTACTTTTATCTTTATATTCGTGCTTTTTAATTTTTTAGACTTCCTGTCTCAAGCGGTTGAATATGGTACTTGGTTATGACCCAGATACGATAACAAAATCAACGTTCATTCATCATATTGCCTCTGGAACACTAGGTGGTGCTGTCACACGGGCACTCATCTCTCCTTTTGATGTCGTAAAAATCAGATTCCAGGTGAAAATTTTTTACTCAGTAAAACCATCAATAACCGAAAGCAAAGCCTCTAGACCATGGCTACTCAACCGGCAAACCATGGTCTGAATCGGGACCTTTCGAGTGCTAAATTTGGACCGCTTCTGCTTCTTGACTTTGAATGCATCGTTTCTTTTTATTTCACAATCGTGATGTAATGAATTTTTCGGTAAATTACTGATGGAAAATGTCATAGCAATATAGGATTCTCAGATAATTCAAGTCGCTGGAAAACTTAAATATTTATATTTTTGCGGATGCCATTGGGTCCAATATTTCACAATATCTCTCGTTCCTGGCTACTAAACTGAAGCCATGTCATACCGCTCTTCTATTTTGTCAGACGATACATTTGGAATTATGTTTGCATAATCAAATACATATTTTCGAAATGAGCGGTCATTTTTAAATTTTGTGTACAGACCTCTAGTGGAAATAGCTGAGTAGTCCTGCTCTAGCCTTCAAATCAATTCAACACCTTTTTTTAAATTTCTGATTGCAGAATAATAGTTTGAGACTGTACATTGCAACACACTTGCTCATTTTTTTATCCAATATTCATGGAAAATTCATCTTTCAAATAACACGCCCCTTTCACACCCCTAATTTTATCCAATTACAGCTCCAATCTGAGGCGGGCAAGGCAAGAAGATACCGCGGACTCTTTCAAGCAACGAGAGTTATATTCAAAGAAGAAGGTGTAACTGCATTCTGGAAAGGCCACATACCGGCTCAATGGCTGTCTATGGTGTATGGAGGAGTCCAGGTATTGTACTTAGTCATAAAATTTTTTTTTGTACGGCTCATCATTGATAAGAAGCTACTGAGAATTAGGGCTCAGTCTGGATTTCATGGCCCTTTTTTACGAAAAATCGTGGCACTGTTCACTCAGTGTTCAGTCTGTTGTGGGTCTTGGCATTTTAATTCTAATACCTGTTCGGGGACTGTCTGTGTTAGCTAAGTGAATATTCCCCTGCCCATAGGCTTCGTCTCTTTACACAACCTGATGTAAAATAGGCGCAACTATTTACATATTGGTACACACACTTCTGGAGCGCCGCACTAGAAGCTCACTGTACTTTATTTTATCTTCGAATTTTGTTTCAGTTCTGTGCGTTTGAATTCTTCACAACGATTGTACATCAGATCTTACCCCACTCTCGCCAAGAGACTGTGAAAAATATGACGACTCACGGAGTGTGTGGTGCGTTATCTGCGATCGTAGCGACTATTGTAGCGCAACCATTGGATGTTTTACGGACAAGATTCGCTGCTCAAACTGAACCGAAAGTGAGTGCTGAACTTAAAGCTTGATGGTGGGAACATCTTGCTAAATGTTTATCAGTTTTTCATGATCCCTGGGACCCTGTTGTCCCTCTTGCAAGGACTCCCAGCACTTTTGGTGCCCATGTTTTACCATAAAAAAAACTAATTTTGCTTTGAATGTGTTTCTATTAGTTATTTTATGCACCAAGTTTAAGAATGAAAAGCCAACAACCAAAAGCAAAAGAACACATGTATAACATTCATAGAATGAAAAGAATCGCAGTTAATTTACTTCAAATTATTGTAGTTGCCAAAAATGGATCCTAGTGAAGGCCATTGCTCATGGCCCCCTGAGTGCTGCTTTGCGGCACCCTTGAGGGCTCAGTTTGACAAACCCTATTTGTTGGAAACACTTTTGCTATTTCGCACTTGCGAATTACCATTTGTGGTTTTTCAGGTTTGAGTCCCTAAATTCGTGTGAAAGGATAACTTGACTCCTTGCCGTCGTGTTTTTGTTATTGTGCATCTGAACAAGTAATTGGTTAACTATTCTCATACCCGCCCTGATCTGGACAGGAGGCCATGGTTCACTTTATTGGACTATTGGGCCGGAGAAGTAAAATATTCAATCAAAATTAATAACTTTTCACAGTCAGTGATACAAAGTGCAAACTGTCAATTTGCAAATGTTTATATTTTAGAAATAAGCAGGCAGTCATGAGTAATGCAGTAACTCTGGTCCATCATGCGCCACCATAAATTTATGCAATTTCAGTAGCTTAGTAGCCATTCGTAACGTATTAATATATCATATTAAAAAAAGCTCATTTCTTTAAAGACGTTTACATCAGCGACCAGAGCGGCATTTTTCATGGTTCGACAGGAAGGATATTTCTCTTTATATCGTGGTTTGATTCCATCCCTCGTTCAAATCGTTCCATTCTCAGCTATGCAATTTGGTAGTCGTTCGTTTTTTGAAGCAGTTTGGATTAGCCACGGTTTAAAACCAGGTATGACAATAAAATTCTTGTTCTGCTTTGCCATACTCCAGCGGTTCCCAAAATGGACCCAATGTCTCATTGGTTGTGTCTGTCTGTATGTTTAAGTGTCTAAACGGCTATAGCAATCAGGATGAAATACTTTGAGTAGGTCGGCTTGTCACCTTCGAATTATGCGTTCCACCCATAGTTCGGGTTAACTTTTCATTTCTTTGGTGGTAGCAAAAAAAAACGGTATTCTATTATGAGTTTCTATTATGAGGACATTTTGTGTTAGGCAAGTGAATATACCGGGACCGGGTACCCCCTGTTATACATTAGCAATCCTTGAACTGACCTTCAGTATCGCCGCCTGCCAGCTTGCTTTTTCAGTCAATTCCAGTTTGATTCTTCAAGTTCTTTTTTTAAATGTTTGCTGAAGATCGAACATACCCTGACTGCACAACCCTGCTTTATTTAATACAAATGATATCTATATTTCAGGGAATTTCAGTGAATTTATATGTGGAGGGTGCGCTGGTTTACTTGCCAAGACATTTGTTTATCCATTAGATGTTGTAAAGAAAAGATTACAGGTTTGTTTTTGCTCAGACTGAATGGTCATTCCACAATTATCCTGTCCATCCTGGGCAAAGGCATGGATATGTATATATTTTCATTTCTGCTTTCATTTTATTGAGCCTGTTTGCCTGAATAGCTATAAAACAAAACGATTTGATTGATTGATTGAGCATATATTTTGTAATTTAGATTTTTGTTGGCTCTGAATCTGCTGTGGTTAACATATAATAAATCAATATTATAAATGCTTTCAAAAAAATATTTTCCAATATTGATTATCAAATATGTCAACTTTATAATGTCTTCCGGAGGCTCTTAGCTCTCATGGCCCGCGTTTATCATTCCAGTGGTATTTATAGTGTTATTATGATTCGTAGATTTCAAATCCTATTATGTTCAAACAATTCATCCTTAACGAAGTGTGAAATAACCTTATCAAGCAATAAAAATAGGAAAAACTAGAATTTTCTTGTAAAGTGAAAAGTAGAATGAATTTTGCATAGCATTGTGGCCCCCTTGGGTGCCGGGCCCCCGGTTGGGAACTGCTGTTCTAAAACTATGATGGCATTAAAGATCAAAGAATTAAAGTTTGCCAACTCTTTTAGCAACTACAACCATCTTTTGGTGATGGAGATTTCAGATTAATTGGTCCATTAGCTGCTATTAGGAATAACAATTTTTTATAATAATGGGCAAAATTCAGCAAATCAATACTTCCAATATACGGCATATTCTTTGTTTTATTCAGATCCAGGGCTTTGCGGCTCCAACAGTCAGTCAGATTCGTCACTATCGAAGCTTTTCCACTGTTTCAGTGCAATATGGAGACACGAAGGCTTTTTAGCTTTTTTCAAAGGATTCAAGGCGGCTGCTTTGAAATCATCTCTAACGTCGGGACTTGTTTTTGCCACTTATAGGTTTTTTAGGGAACAATTTGAACCAGAAAAAACTGATAGTGGTGGATGATTTAAGTTGATGATTACGAATTTCACATTCATCGTGCGGGAGAGGATAAGACGGCTCAATCATGTGGCGGACTCTGGCCTCCTGTACCGTTACCAGTTCATGTCAAGTGTGGGCTGTCAATCTCATATGTATGGACTTGATAGTGGAGGAATCCAACCAACGAGTATGTTAACCACCCTCTGGCAGAGACCAGCAATCTTCTCACAAATAATTCTACCGCATAGGATTTGAGTAATCAGGGGGGTACTTCCGTAGTATGTGTGCCTGGTAAGGGTTTGGCCATAATTTCATTAATAGCCAAGTGAATATGCCCCCTACCCATAGGTTTCAGTTCCTTTACGCAACTTGATGTAAAGTAGGCGAACAAAATTAGTTACCTCCATATTGGTACATACACTTCATCAGGGGTGTATTAACTTTGTGCTTAACACGATGTGCCAACCGTCAAGCTAAATTTGAACTAAAGAAAAATTAAATCCAATTCTGTGTCATTTAAGTTCATTGTCTCCTGGTTTGTTGAAAGTTGACTGAAATAAATCCGAGCTCAGCTATTGTGATATCTGATAAACCAAACGATGGTTGATAATTTTGGCTTTTTTAGGCTCGTTTTTCTGCTTAGAAGCTTTAAATTGCAACTTCAGCTCTATTCCCAAATAGTTAGTTAACTCTAATACCATCGTTATAAAGCATTAAGCCATTAACCCGACTCAAATCACTATTAATCAAAGACTCTGGAGTGAGTTGATTCATCTGAATTGAATCACGGAACTTGAAGAGATTTGACTCTGTAATTCTCTAAAATTCGTGGCTTGGAATTTGTGGTGCCCGAGCCCAGATTCAAGCCCATTGGCTCCTACTATCTGTTCTTTGTTGTACATGAACCCAATAACTTATATTTGATATTTGGAAAATATTATTTTAAATGTGTTTGTACATTTCGTTCACCGTTTTTGGCCCCTGGTAAAACCTTGCCCCCCCTGTTATACACACTAGAATTATTGACTAGAGTCAAAAATATTCGTCAAAGACTCAAGAGTGACTCAAAAACTAATCGACAGCGAGATAATCAATATTTGGTTAGAATACAGGACTCGACTTGAGGTTAAACTTGACCTGGGGTTCAGGGACTCTTTTACCCAACACATGTCAATATGCCGCACTACTGCTTTAAATTTTAAAAACCAACTTTATGTCAGTAGAAGATATCTTGGATTGCAAAATTTTGTTCAGTATATATTGTGATTTCAATTGCTTCTTTTTTTTACACGAAGCCATTTATTTGCTCATTGAAAGGCTACCAAGGGCGCAGTACAAAAATGGTTCTTCGGCTCTATGAGCCCCATGTTAGGAAAAAATAATTTTTGGTAACAGAAGCTTTTGCATTTGCTTGCTTTCTTTGTCTGTCGAAAGTGCTGAATCAACTTGGTGCTCCTGCTTTGTTATTGTTGGTCAGATTACCCAAGTCTCTTTTGAAAAGCTCTTTATTTATTCATTCATATTAAGTTCCATAACTGTATATTTTACTCAAAATTTGCATCTCTACAAAATCTGAAACAAACACTGATGAGGTAGCAACTAGAAAAGTTACTACCAGGATGGTAACTTCTGACCACTCAGTATTTCCCTACCTTTCTTGATAAATTCATAACTTTGTCTATTTCGGACTACTCTCTCTCACTGTGCCTGAAATCTCTGTTTTCGTTATTTGTTCAATCTAGCTAGTTTTACATTCAGGTTATACTCTCTAGCCCAAGGTTTCCCAAACTGGGGTTCGTGATGACTGTGCATGGGGTCTGAAACGATATGAAAAGAGTTTATAATGTATATAAATATATCACAATATCATCGAATTTCCGTTAGCCTGCCAGTATTCAACGTTAGTATGTATTGATTTAGACTTTCATGAGTTTTATTTCATCAAAGAAACATTATCTTTCCTCATTGGTTAGGTACGGAATTTGACACGGCATGGGATGAGGGTCTGTCAAAAATAAGATTCACAAACAGTGGTTCCCGGCCCAAAAAGTTTGGGAAACCCTTCTCGAGCCCACCGGTTTGTAACTAGTAAACCATGTGACCAGTAAGCCCAGCAGTGGGCCACAGTAGCATTTTCATGTGTGCCACAAACCTATTAAAAATTGCTAGATTTGTTGCTAAATTTAGTTGAATTTGATGGTAGTAATGAATGATGATGCTGTTTTTTGTTACAGGGTGGTATTTTTCTCTTAATTATTAGAGTGAAACTGTCTATGTTTGCAGAAAAAATGTTTTTTTTCGTTGTAGTTATTCCCTAGCCTGAAAAAGTTAATGGGCCACATAATTTTTGCACAACGAAAATGGGCAACGAAAAAACAAGGTTGAGAACCACTGCTCTAGTCTTTATACACTGATACAAAGCAGTTTTCAACACTCAACCAACAAAAATTATCCCTCCTGGTTACGAATTCCTGTGTTTTCGTCTTTGTTTAATTAACGATGGATGAACTATAATGGATTCCTAGCTTGTTAATTAGTTAGTGACACGCACAACTCACACCCAGCCCTTTGTACACTCTGAATAGTTTATAAAGTGTGGTGCATAAATGAATACTACTCCCCAGAGGAGGAATTCCTCTTCAGTACGGGAACGTTGCCTACCACTGGGCCATCCACTGATGCTATTTTAATTCTCATTTAATTCTTGCCAAGCTGTAGCAACGAATATATTGCGCAATCCTTGCTTCCATTGCTATGTTTATTTTGAATATTTATTGTTGCCATTGTTACCTTGATTTATTGCATTTTTTAATAATTTTATCTACAAAAAAGTGATGTTCCAGATTTAGAAGGCAGAAGAGTGGTTAATAGATAAGACAGTTATTTTTAAGATTTTCTCGACACGCGCCCTCAAGGATGTGTGTATTCATCCCCCCCTTTTTATTGTCGAAAGTTGTAAATATTGTTTTTATGGTTAATAGTCAATGATTAGGGGTTTGGAATATTTCACACAAAACAGGTTTCGGACGACAAAGCGTAGCTGCATACAACAAATTGTTTGTTCAAAATATTTTGGAATTTTGCAATCTGATAAAACTAATTACTCCCAACGCAATAGAAGCTTCGGTTTTAGTGAAACCTCGCATTTTTTCTATGGTAGGCGAGTGAAGTAGCGACCTTCTTCAATCTACCTTACTTGTAGAAGAATGGATGGACAGAATTCACATATTTATCCCGGGTAGAGGAAAGCCGATTACATGGCGTAGTCACAAAGCAAACCGCGACCTCTCTCCCGGTAACTAGTCCGTCAGGTATTGGATTAGATAGTTATTTGTTTCAGATGCATGGATTTGGTGGTGGAGGAAGCCATAACCGACCAGCGGTTACGTGAGGTGTCCAGCAATCCTCTCGCACTTAATTATCTCCGACGGGATGCGAACCCACGCAGGGTAATCAGAGGTGCGCCTTACCGTAGAGATGTAGAACTCAGGCTTGTATACAGTCTTGCTTTGTAGAAAGAGGTGAAATACAATCTCCTTATAGATTTTCTCAGGCATAGATTACTAGGGATAGGAATCGTTAGCCGGTAGAGGTAAACTGTTACAATCTACTTTTAACCTTGAAACGGCGTTCCAAGGAAAATCGTTTTTGAAACCCAACAAAAATTGTTTCTAAAATAATTGTTTTCCAAAATTTTTTTTTCTGTGGCTTTTGATTCGAAAGAATATCATTGGTAAACAACAAGAAAATGTAATGGTTATTGTCAATATATTTTCGTTGTTGTATTGTATAAAGGCCCAGTCCCTAGCTTGATTACCGACTCCCAACAACGGACAGAAAGAAATCTGACTTCAGCAGCACACAAATCGATATAATATCGCCTACTTTATTAACACAATTCTACAGTATGTTATTGATATAGAGTCCAAGGTTGTCGGCTCCGGGGGCCAAAAAATTATCTTTGCATTATTCTCAGGCCACAAAAGTGCCAAGAATAGGTAAAGAGTGCAATACAAAACAAGCACATTTATTGTGCAAACGCAACATGCAAAATCCTGCGAAACAATTTGTTTCAGATTTAATAATAAGAATCTAAAATATTTAACAGAACTACAATGCAGAATCTTCAAATGCGAATGTCACCAAAGTGGTTTTATGTTTCCAATGCAGAAACTAAGGATTTTCGGGTAATTTTAAATATATAAATTCTCTAAATTTGAAATACCACAGTTCTTTAGAGGAGATTAGTTGCTTCGTTGAATCTAACAGACTGTTACATTGTGCCCCATGGTCTGTCCGAATGTACCTCACAGGGGTGCAGTGGGACACTTGACAAACGTTTTTTAAAGCATTTTGGTGGTAAGATGTTTGTCGCTAGGGAATTTCTTGGTCACTGAATAAAAACTACATTTATCCCTCTATGCATCAGTACGGCAATGTCAAATGAATGTACAGACAATGGATCTCCAAAGATGCAAAAGAAAACCATGGTCTCAACCTCCCCCTACATTAAATTCTTCTCTAAGTAGTAGGAGATCTAATCTTGATTGCCCAGTCATAACAATTTGTTTTGTCCTAGAGATACAGGCCTGCAACTTGTAACTTCTGCTGTCTTCGCTTTCTAATTAAGCGAATTAGATAAGTATCTGACTCCAAAAACAGAATATATAGTAGGTTACGTGTTCAAATTGAGATATCTGTTAATTTTATATAACAGTAAGGATCTGACCAATTTGCCTGTAAAGATTTTTATTTCCACGGATAACATATCACAATAAATTTACTTACAATAAAACACACTCACAATCGTGAAAACCAAGTCGGTGATGAATCAGCATTGTTGTATAGAACGAATTGAAATAGAAAAGCCGGTTGCTGTATCGAACGAATTGAAATAGAAAAGCCGGTTGCTGTATCGAACGAATTGAAATAGAAAAGCCGGTTGCTGTATCGAACGAATTGAAATAGAAAAGCCGGGCAAACCACGATCAAAATGTCTATTTAAACGGTAACATCTTTTTCATCTCGCTCGCCAAAAACGGTACCTTTCTTTATTATCCAAAAATCTCGTTTCCCACGGAGCAATTTTTGCTCATATCTAGAATGTTCGGTACCCTTCTTACAATAATTACACTTGTTTATAGGTTACCTGACATGGGAAATATCCATTTTCTCATACACGAGAAAGATCTAGACTCAATATTTCGAATGATCTAGAAAGATCTCTTCAATATTTCGGTTGTTTATGGGTCACCCGACATGGGAAAATATCCATTTTCTCATACACGAGAAAGACTAGAAAGATCTCTTCAATATTTCGATTACGTCAATTATTATATAGAATTTGACTTCCATTATCCAAATTATTGGTTAATTTGTTACACATTCCTGGCACCACAAGTGAAATATTTTAAAAGCACATATTAAAAATTAACCGATAATTGTAGAAATATAAGAATGAAATCGAAATTATCATGACAGTAATCAAATCTCGTAACTTTTGAAGATGGCAATTTGAAATGTCAAAGTAATTTGTTTGAAAACTGTCGGATGAAGAGCAAAACATCCACTACGAAGAGCAAGAAAAAATGGTCGAGTGTAATTAATCAATAAGACATAAGACTCAGAAACGACAAGACAAATTCCTTAATTTTGGTTATTTAAAATGGCAATTGAAAGATTTATATACAAGAAGAAAAACATGAAATTTGAGCACTAATTATACATGCAAGAATTAAAAACATACAACTTAAGAACTCATTGTAGCCCCATTTATTATGATTCTGACTTGGGGTCTTTTCAAATTATAAGGATGAGACATTTGTATTGTGAAAGGCATTTGAATTGTGCAATTCAGTGAAACAGTAATGGTATTATTATACCTTCTTCTCACCTACACGACTTTCAAAATTGTGAGCACTTGTTTAATGTACGATTTACTATTAGATAAATTAGGCGATAATGACTTTAAAAAATGAAGAAAAGATGGTTTATTGATTCCCAAAAACAAAAAAAATCTTACAATATGACTGTATTGTAGGTCTTTACGTTATCAGTGTTAAACCTTATTAAACATAAGGCTTTTTGGTAGGTCGTTACGTTTCAGTGATTGCAACTAGGTAGGTCTTTACGTTTCAGTGATTGCAACTAGTATTGTTACTACTCATTCTACATTTAATTGTCTGTACCATTTGCAATAATAATGGGGGGGGGAAGATTTAGATGTAAAACACAATAATTTGTCATGAAATTTGAAAAATACAACAAATAGACGAGCGTTGTAAAACCAATAAAAGAATGCAACAATAAAATTAATTTTGAGAAATCGGTACCGTGATATTTCCTATTAATCTCATAAATTCAATAAACTGCAGAAAGAATTAAGATAACTTTTGTGAAAACTTTGTGCACTTTATTTGGAGATAAAACTTGGTGGAGAAAACAAAAAAAAAATGATTGGAGTACTCCATTTGGGGAATCATTGGTTGAAAAAAAATGATTGAGGGAAAAAAATAAGGCTTAAAAACTTGTGAGCCTTTGGATCCAAAAAAAAAAAAAATGTTAAAAAAAGGTATTTATTTTCTGATTATAATTTCTTGATTATGTAACCTGTCATTGTCTTTTATCAGGTCATAAGTTTTGTTTATCGCCGCGAGCGCTATAAATTTTTATTTATTCGCTTCCGCTATCCGACACGAGATTTAAGACCTCGACATTTCCACCATTGCTTCTGAGGTGTTGCATAGCATTGGCCCTCTCGTTTGCTGGGGGAGCTCTTTGCACCGGTGCCATAGGACGAGCTGTGGATGATTGGCCGATGGGGGTTCGGCTTCTGGCTCCGCCACGGGACGACCAGAGACGGTCCCATCTATCCCTTACTGGGGTACGCGTGACTCTCGGTTGGTGGTGGACATGCGTACGTCTGGAATGATTTCCGTTCGGTTCACGGGAGCGGGTACGTCGATATCTGGGGCCTTCCTGTTCTCTCGGAGTGCTTGTACGTCTGTCGGGAGGAGAGGGACGCCCCCACGAAGATTCTATCCCTTATTCTTCTCCCGACAGAACTTCGGATTCCACTTCCAGCCAAAGTTACAGTCCTGCCGTAAGCAAAAATAATAGACAGAATTAGCCCGATCAGTATTACAATGGCAAGGAATTTATTGCCTATTCCACTAAGAAAAGATATCAATATTTTTTTAATATGTTTAGCTAGTATTTTCAGGGGAAGTGCAGGATTAGCACTAGTTGTTTCCTGTTCGTCATTAAAAGAATTGGCATAGTCAATTAGACTTTTAGTAAATATGGAATTCTGGCTTATGGACATTAGCATTGAATCTATGTCGTTAGAACGCGGTACGTCGTTCTTGAAAATTTTGACAATGAAGTAAGATAATTTGTATTGTAAGGATTTATTTTCTTAGTTGTTAGGTAAGGGTGAATTTTCTTTGGGTTTGTGGTTTTGTTTTGTAGAATTCCCTTTTGATAGCTATAATAAGTGTTATTCATTTTAAAGGTAACGAACTCCTGTGGTTCGGTACTATAAAAGTTTATACCTGGAAGAATTCTTCCCGAAGACAAGTATTGGGCGATAACTGTAGTGTTAGTGTTATCAGTATAGTTAACTAAGGGACGAGTAGAATATAACTCGTTAGGTAATATTAGACTATTTAAGAGACTCGCTTTTATGGGTTGACACAAAAGGGTGCCCAGCACGTCGCCTCTGTTAACCGCAAAGAGATTATTTGTTCCCAAAATTTCGTTCAACACATCCGACGGGTACGTTTTCGCTAAAACTCTATAAATTTTAGATAATATTCGTTCGGTCTCACATTCCAATTTAAAGATTTGGCTCTGTAATTTCGCGGACAGAGCGGTTTGTGAGTCTGCGACATTTTGTATCATCAACGTTAATGCCGTCGAAATGTCTGCGTGATCAGCAAACTCACGTAACACGTTGACTTTCTTTAATAAACTACAATTCTTGACTTGAACCAAAAGTTCGTTTTCAAGGCAGAAAATACTGCCAAAGCAATCAGTCGTTAATTCGTTACACACTGAAAAGGAATGAAAGGTCATATGTAAATCGTTTAGTTCTACAGCATATATGTCATTAGTGTTGTTTACATGTGCAGTTAGCGAAGAGTTTATTTCCTCCGCTTTGTTTGGACATTTTTCGAATTTTGCATCGTCAAATAAAAGTGTATAACTACCAATTTGGCAGGAAGATTGATTTACAGAGCAATTTGCGCTGTCAGCTAGAGGAAAAATAATTTTTGAGTTTAGATGGTCATACATTACATAGGATGTTAATAGGGCAATATTTTCAGTTGTTCCGGAATCAGTTGTGGGCCATTTATAGTTGATAACCGGTTTATTCTCGGTTACCCATAGATCATTGGTTTTCTGAACAAACTTACCGAATTGATTCGATTCGTGAGTCTTAAACCAGTTTCTGCAATTTTGTTCGGACGAAGGTACTCCTGATTTTATTTTGTAAAGTGAGTCTTAGCTCCAAAGAAATAAAAGTGACTTTTCCATTCAGTTATACTAGTTTGGCAAGCTCTAATTGGAATTTTAGTATGCAATTTAGGTGCGTGATAGACTTTAGCTTGACATTTCACTATGTGTTCGGATTTGTGTTGTTTGCAAGACTTATCATCCGATATGTCGTACTCTTGATTGATTTTGTCATTTTGGCAGATATAGCCATGAACCTCTGGATTTCCAAAACATAGCCATGGTAATTGCATAAAAACTAGAAGTAATAGTATAATGGATAAATACCTGAATTCTTGATAAAATTCTTGTCCCACCATCCTGCCACGTTTCAAATAAATGATTTCTCTATCGGATTTGTCGGTCCGGGTTATTTCGTCATTGTCCGAATTTTCCTCTTCCTTTTCCTCTAGACTTCCGTCTCTGCCTGTCCATACCGGTCTGGCGGACGTACTGTCCGGCCGTATCTGGTCTTGGGCTGGTTCTCCTTCTTCCATAGGATGTCCTCTGTCGTTGGACTCGTGAATTCTGAAATAAAAGGTTCATTGTTATTCTTGGGAGTAATTACTGTTTTTATTGGTGGTTTTTCAATTTCAGTGAGAAAATTTTGGTTTTCCACGTCATGTTTTTGTTCAGGACGTTCTTCCTTATCTGTTTCAAAAATAGTAATTTCAGCAGGTTTTAATTGGTTAATAGAAACTCGTTCTATACCCTTATTTTTTTTTATAGTGAAAGCAGTCTTATTTCGAAATATCACTTCATATGGCCCCTGATAGTTGGGTTGCAAAGACTTTTTTACGTGATCTATTCGTTGAAACACATGACTACAAGTGAACAACTTTGGTGGAATATATACATTAGACCTTAATTTCTTTCTTGTTGGAAGAGCTTTAAAATTTCCAAAAAAACGTTTTAATTTAGAAACATAACTGTAAGGGTCAAAATCTTGGGTTATGTCAGAACTTTCCACTAATTCTCCAGGGAGTCTCAGTGTTCTCCCATATGCAAGTTCGGACAATGAAAATCCGTTTAATTTCGGAATGGACCTCAAACCTAAAAGGACGTATCCCAAGTTTGATGACCATTCACTAGGGTTTTCCTGACACTTCAAACCAAGTTTTAATTCTCTATGAATTCGTTCTATTTGTCCGTTTCCCTGCGGCATATATGGCAATGAAAATTTATGTTTTATTCCTAAAAAATTCATAAATTGAGCCCAATTTTTACTTCTGAAAGAGGAGTAATTGTCACTCTTAAGGAGAGTTGGACACCCAAATCTGGCAACCCAATGCAATAAAAATGTATCTATAAGAGTTGAGGCGGTCAGATCACATATCGGGATCGCCTCTATCCAACGTGTGGTACGGTCAATCATCGTAAAAATATAAGTAAAACCTTTGCTTGGTACAAATGGTCCAACAATATCTATTTGAACCTCTGAAAATCTTTCATTAGGAATAGGAATAGATGACAGTTGAGATACAGTGTGTCTAAAGATCCTGTTTTTCTGACATTTCAAACAAGATTTCACATAATTTGTAATATCTGCATGCATTTGTGGCCATACGTAACGTTCTGAAATTAAATTATTGGTGCTTTTAATACCTGGATGACAAAGGTCATGTATTTTGTCGAAAATTCTCCTACGTAAAATCTTGGGTATTATAGGTCTAGCTTTCTTATGTTCCAAGGATACGTCACATAGAATAACTCCACCCATGTTGTCTATGGCTATTTCTGCAAGCTTGAGTGAATGGCCAGAGTTTGCTTTTAAACTTTGTATTTCTTTACAGTTTTCTTGCTCTTTAGCTATTTCCGTTAAAGGAATGGCATCTTGTTGTTGATAAATAATATTTACAGTTTTATTTTCTAGAACATTTCCATTTTCTATCACAGATTTATTCTCTACTCCACACGTATTATCAGTTCCGCGGTTACGTTGCTCAGATGGCGTTATGTCAGACATCGCGTCAACGGTTTTACACGCTTCACCGGTTCCTTGCGTCTGCTGTCTGCTTGCGTCGGCTGACGTTACGTGCGTCATTGCGTCGACTGATTTATTCGCTTCACCGGTTTCGTGCGTCTGTGGTTCGGATGACGTTATACGCTTCGCTGCGTCGTTGTCCTTGACGACCGCTGTTTTTGCTTCGCGCGTCTCTATTTCGTCCATTGTATTAGCTTTTTCTGTATTAATTTTATCATTACTTTGGCTATCATTATTTACATAGCGAGAAATAAAATCGGCCACTGGATTACTTGACCCCGGTATGTGAGAAAACGAGTTTGTCATACTTGTGATGTAATCCAGTTGACGGTTTTCTCTGTCGCTGGGTCTATTTGTCGGATTATTTAGTGCCTGAATTAACGCTTTGTTATCGGATAATAATTGAAATTGTCGACCGATTAAAAGATTTTTAAAGTACTTAATGGTTAAGTAACAAGCCATTAGTTCTTTGGAGAAAATAGTATAGTTTTTCTCTCGCTTGTATAGAGTTTTTGAAAAGAACCCCAAGGGCTGGTTTATTCCGTCAACATATTGTGTTACGGCCCCTGCAATAGCAGACGAACTTGCATCACATATTACCGTTATTGGCACATCAATTCTTGGGTGTGCTATCATGCATGCGTTAACCAAACACTCTTTGATTTTATGAAAGGCAGCATCACATTCTGCTGTCCAAATTGGTTTTTGACGTTTGCGGTTTTTATCTGAGACTAATTGAGTAATCGGATAAATTATCTCAGAATATCTGGCTATATGTTTCCTATAAAAATTGCACATGCCTATGAATTTGCGACATTCTGTAATTGTTTGTGGTACTCGAAATTTTTTAATAACCTCGACTTTGTCTCTGATTGGTTTTATTCCATTTTCATCAAGTTCGTAGCCTAGATAAGAAAGATTTGACTTTCCAAACTCGCATTTTTTTAGGTTTAGTGTTAAACCATAGTGGTTTAGTCGTTTAAATACTTGATCGGTTACTTTCAAGTTTTCCTCTTTTGTTTTAGTGTAAATTAGTAAATCATCAAGATAGACAAAAACATTTTTCAACCCAAACAAAACTTTACTCATGAAGTTAGAGAAGGAACTGGGTGCGGAAGCAATGCCAAATGGCATCATAATGGGAATATACTGAGCATTCGCGACGCTAAATGCACACTTATGTCTATGTAACGGATTAAGTTTGATATTTGAGTAAGCCGATTCAAGGTCGAGTTTAGTAAAGATTGTACATCCGGCGAGTTCCGACGTAAAATCTTCAAGTCTCGGCAATGGGAATCTTGGGATTCTTGTAATCAGATTCAAACGTCTATAATCAAAAGTCAAACGAATTGAATTGTCCTTTTTAGGAACTACGTTCAGCGGGCTACAATACGGGCTAACTCCGCGAATTATATCTCCGTTTTCTAATAATTTATTTATCTCGTCGTCTACTTGCTTCTTATATTTGAACGGAACCGGTCGGTCTTTTGTATAAACTGGAGGTCCAAAAGTTATAATATCGTGTTGATAATTATGATTAATTCCTCGAAATTTTGCATGTTTCCGGATTAAAATTTCTGGATATTTTTGCAATAATAATTGGTATTCCTTATCTATTGTTTCCGGTATTAAGGTTAATATTGGCGCACCACTTAACGTATTATGACACGGAATTGAAAAATCGTCTGCTCTATTAGTTAAACAATTGTTTGCTAAGTCTATTACCAGTTTATTTTTAACAAGAAAGTCTATTCCAAGTATACCATCAAATTCTATGTTTGCTAACACCCAATTATGTGTATATTTCACCTTATCTGCCAAGCAAATTTCAATTTCGGTATTGCCCACTACGGTTAATTTTGTGCCATTTGCCGTAATCAGAGGTTCATATTTTCGGTCACGAATAATATGTGTACCGGGATTATCTTCGGAAAGATTTTTTATGGTTTTAAATTGATGTAACTTTTTGGCATTTAAAATACTATAAGTTGATCCAGTATCAACTAAAAGTCGATTTTTAGAAAGGGAATCATATACAAAAAATAATTTATTGTTGCTTGACAGAGACGGTAAATTATTTTTATTTAAATTTTCACAATTCTTAAATTTATGTACAGCATTTGTTTTACGAGAGGGTAGACCTTCCGGGCTGTTAAAACCAGAAAAGTCTACCCTTCGGCTAAAAAATTCTTCTTTCTAGGAAAGCTGCAAGGGGCATTACATTTGACTGCGTTTTCTCCAAATTTATTATGGAAATAGCAGAAATTTACATCACAATTCCGTCTCCAGTTATAATTGTTCGAATTGAAAGTATTCCTAGGATAACCTCTAGCAAACTTCCTCGTTTCAAATTGACGCCTATCTTGAGAATTGTACTGTCTCGCTTGATGCTGCGGAGGGGCATTATATCGATGAACCGGGTTAAATTTTGGTTCGAATCTTGGGCTGTTTATTGCTTTGATTTGGGTATTCAAATTATCAACATTTTTAGCCAGAGACGTTACCAGATCTGTTAATTGCTCCAGTTTATTTTGTCCAGAATTGTCTTTTTGATAGGAACTTGTAACATGGTTCGAATTATTATCTGAGGAATCATAAATTTGCATCGCGCGAGCCAGCAATTTCTCGCATGAATATTTTGCTATATCTGAGTATAAGACGTTGGCTATGTAAGCTGGTAACAATGCTACAAACACTTTCTTTATTAGATTTTGAACTTCTATACTGTTTCTATGTCCCCCAATAAAGGAATCTTTCAAATATTTAAGAATAATATCTGGCCTTTCATTTTGTAATTGCCCAGAAAATATTTTCTGTAATTTTTCTCGAGAATCCGGTGCAAAAATGTCCAACAAAATTTGTTTCAGTTTTTCATAATTATTATTATGTTCATCGAGCGGCATCCTTGCCCTGACAAGATCCAGTTGTGGAGAATTTAAACACCTTAGTATATAGTTTTTCTTTTGCGAATCGCTGACTATTTGATTTTCAGCGAATTCGTTTTCCGTTAAAAAGATCCAATTTTTCACCGAATTTTCCCAAAGTGGTCTCGTGGGAATTCTATGCTTTTCATACAATATTGTTCTAGGTTCAGTTATCTGAGAGATTCTGGAATTTATGCCGTAATTCGGTCCGGAATCTTCTACTCTATCTTTATTGGTCAAAAATGGGTTGTTTGTGTCATTAAATTTCCTAACCGACGGCAATTGAAAAGTTATTCTCTGTCCAGAATCACCTCCCAAATCCTCGCACTGCGTAAGCTCCATATCAACAACAGGTTTTGTTTCCTTTGGGGACGAACTTTGCCAATTACAATTGTCATCTTCACGTTCAATTAAATTTGATTCAGGAATATTCAAATTTTCAAGTCCAAATTCTGTTTCGTCTTCAATATCTCGGCGTTTTGGTATTTCAGGCGTAATATGTGTTAATTGATATGGATTTACACCTGATTGTTCTGATTTACGAGCTTTGCTTCGCGTAAACATTTTTTGTAATTTGGACATTTATTTACCGAATAATCAATATACCATACAACCTTATACACACTTAAGTAAAACCAGGTACAATATTGTAAGAAGATATTACAAACCAGGTCAAACAGTTGATAAATCACACAGAATAGTTAATAGAATAAAATGACTTACGATTGTTGACGATCCATAATAATCCCGACGTTCGGGGTCACCAATGTAACTTCTGTGTCTTTGCTTTCTATTAGCGAATTAGATAAGTATCTGACTCCAAAAACAGAATATATAGTAGGTTACGTGTTCAATTTGAGATATCTGTTAATTTTATATAACAGTAAGGATCTGACCCATTTGCCTGTAAAGATTTTTATTTCCACAGATAATATATCACAATAAATTGACTTACAATAAAACACACTCACAATCGTGAAAACCAAGTCGGTGATGAATTAGCATTGTTGCATCGAAATTGAAATAGAAAAGCCGGTTGCTGTATCGAACGAATAGAAAAGCCGGTTGCTGTATCGAACGAATAGAAAAGCCGGTTGCTGTATCGAACGAATTGAAATAGAAAAGCCGGGCAAACCACGATCAAAATGTCTATTTAAACGGTAACATCTTTTTCATCTCGCTCGCCAAAAACGGTACCTTTCTTTATTATCCAAAAATCTCGTTTCCCACGGAGCAATTTTTGCTCATATCTAGAATGTTCGGTACCCTTCTTACAATAATTACACTTGTTTATAGGTTACCTGACATGGGAAATATCCATTTTCTCATACACGAGAAAGATCTAGACTCAATATTTCGAATGATCTAGAAAGATCTCTTCAATATTTCGGTTGTTTATGGGTCACCCGACATGGGAAAATATCCATTTTCTCATACACGAGAAAGATCTAGACTCAATATTTCGATTACGTCAATTATTATATAGAATTTGACTTCCATTATCCAAATTATTGGTTAATTTGTTACAGCATCTGTCATGAAGAGTTGGTCTACTATTACTACAATCTAGATCGAGTGGTATCAAGACAACAAGAGGACTTGTTTCACCGCGGTTTGACCAGCCATAATCGGCTTTCCTTTTTCTCCTATTTAAATAGAAAAATTCTATGTTAATTACTCGGATAAATATTTAAAACTATAATCATTCCCATTCAGAATGAATTATTCAATCTCTTTTACACTGGATAGGTTCGAAATTATCAGTCAACAAATCAAACTTATTATAGGCAAAGAAATTCAAAGTTCAGCACTTCTAATACTAACCCGGATTTGAGAACAAGATTTCTAGGAACTATCCTATTTATAAACTTAGTTTTCTAACCTCTTTCTCCAGCAGAAACTTCTGATAATTCCCCGACATTTCCTTCAAATCCAGGTTACCAAATAATTCTTCGAACGTCGATGCCCGAGTCTCTACATCGAAGTTGGTCCAGATAATCAAAGCTTTGCACTTGACAGCTTCAGAGGCCTACAAATGGAAAAAAATCAAACATAAATTTGTAGATTTAAAGCTGAACCTGGATAGACAGGTACAAAGATAAACAATTATAGGCAATTTCATCATAACTTTATAACATTATAAATTTCTCAGATGGAACCTGGCTATATTGAAAAATAAATAATACAGTTCCATTGGATTTCTGTTAAAATATGCTTGAAATAATGTACGATACCAAATGACTCAATCTTAAAAAACAAAATTTAAAATCCTTACTTCGACTTCGTTCGATCCAACCAAGAAGGAAATATAATCTTTATCCAAATGTTTGAAATCGTCTTCAGCAGCAATTGATTGAAAATTTTCCAGAGCATATTTGTTGCAACTTTCAACTAAACCGGTGCAGTTGAAAGTGTTCGCAATCATCTTTGTTGAATAGAACGATTCTGTACTCAGTTCTTCCTCAAGAGATACAGCAATTTTGTCGCACATACCTGTGTACAAAACAAATAATAGAAATTCCACGTATAAACTAGAAAAAAGAACCATTTTTACCACGGAGTCTCATTTTTTAAAGTATTTGTCGCTGTCAATGTAACGTCCGAGTGAACTGAAAATAGCTTGTTTCTCACTCCGGTAAATATCCCATAACTTGTATTCCGAAGAAAAATTCTACATATGTTTCACACAGCACATTCATGTGTATTTTGAACAGCCAATATATTGCTGTTGGTTATCAAAACAAATGTCTACGTCAAGTTATTGCCCAAGCTCGATTGGGCGTTCAATTTATTACAAAATCAATTTAAATAAAATTACCATACCTTGTAACTGGAGCATTTGAGCGGTATGCATCAGTTGTTCACGCTCCTCGCGATCAGGATTGGGAAAATTACCTGTGTAAATATAATTGATGCAGGTTTTCACACTTGAGTATTGAACTTGTTTCATTGCCACAATGCCAGCGCTGCTCTCAACGTTCTGAAATATAAGAAAATAAATTGTAGATATACATTCAATATTTTTATAAAACAGTTTTCTGAGAATTTTGGTCCAGTTAATCAGTTATCAATATTTTACAAAAGGACAGAGAAAAGAATCTCGTCTAATTATTAGTTATACAAGTGAATATCTAATATTACTTGATAACTTATGATTCAACACTTACTTCATGAGACAACATTGCCCGAAAATAATCTGATCCTGCTGACAGAACGTTTCTGTGTGCTGGTATTTTCTTGTCGCCGACCATAATTGCAAAGTCACTATGCCCTTTGCTTTCTCTCTGTCTGAAATAAATACAAGTAATAGTACGCGGATAAGAGAACAGTTTTCATATTTACTTTAAGAATAGAGAAGTCTCTAAACAATCTTGTTTGGTTGCCAGTCCAAATTACTTACAGTAAAAGTTGAACATTGAATCGTTTTAAAGACCCCGTGAATTCTGGTTCAACTAAAACTTCAATTTTCCTCAAATATGATCTTCATATTTTAGGACTTTAGGTCACAAGAAGTTGGGTTTTATTAAGTTATTGCCCCACTGCCTTTTGTTTATCTTATTTTTTTACTGATATAAAATTCTGACAGACTGACCTAAGCCCTACATACTATGTAGCAGTGATTTTCAACCGCGGTTCCGATTTACTTAGGGGTTCGGCCAGCACAGTTCAGGGGTTACGCAAGTTTTCATTCAATTTGAATTTTAATATGACCAAATATTTTGTTTAATTTCGCAACAACGTTCACGCCAAATCAAACTTATATTCACGAATTTCATATTAACGTGTTTCCGTGTAAAACAAAATGTACTTGAAAACGCAAAAAATACTTTTAGACATTACGGCTAGGAAATAATACTGCAAAATATTACAAGAAAACGATCTGAAAAGTTGAAACATCTGAAAAATCTTCAATTCAAACTTTATGAGATTCAAATATGGGTGATTTTTCAAATAAATGTTTTCAAGGTAATCGAATTATTTCGAACTTTCCCGGTACCGGTGGCGCAAACTTGAATTTAACTAAAAATAGAGGACTAATATAAGAACTTAGAATAACAAAAAAATGTAGTGACATAATGCGATTTTTCGAACATTGGCAATTTTGTAAAAGTTAAAAGTTTTGGTAAGATCATCGAATTTTTCGAGCTTTTCCGGTCGCGGGGCAAAAATTTGCCTATGGAAAGAGCACTAACATAGCAACTTGTCGCAATAAAAAATGAAGTAACATAACGCGATTTTTCGAACTTTTCTGTGTTCGAATGTAGGCAATTTTGTAAAAATTCAAAATTTTTTGAAAGAGAATCGAGCTTTTTAGTTCCCGAGGGCAAAAATATGAATTTACCCGTACAAATAGGACTAACATATAAACTTATTACACTAAAAAGGTTTGGGGATATCCTGCGATTTTTCAAACTTTTTGGGGTTCAAATATTGACAATTTGTTTCAAGATTGAAAATTTTGGTAATATAATCGAACTTTTCGAGCTTTCCGTCCTCGGAGTCAGAATATGAATTTACCCATGGAAAGATGAATAACATGAGGATTTGTTGCAAAAAAAAATTGTGATGATATCCTGCATTTTTTTTTTAATTTTTCTGGCTTCGATAAATTGGCAATTTTTTTAAAAATTGAAAATTTTGGAAAGATAATCGAAGACCGGAAAAGATCTAAATATCCGAACCCTAAAAAGTTCAAAAATCGCAGAATATCACCGTATTTTTTGTTGTTGTGAAGAGTTTTTATATCAGTCATATCTTCATTGGTGAATTCGGATTTTGCCCCCGGGACTTGAAAGGATCGAAAAATTAGATTAACTTATCAAAATTTCCAATTTTGACAGAATTGTCAATATTAGAACCGATACAAGTTCGAAAAATTGAGAAATATCACCAAATTTATTTTATTGTAGCGAGTTGCTATGTTCGTCCTCTTTTTTTCATGGGTAAATTCATATTTTTGCCACCGGTACCAGAAAATGTCAAAATATCGATTATCTTATCAAAATTTTCAATCTTAACAAATTTGTCAATCTTACAACCCAAAAAAGTTCGTAAAAATCGCTGGATAATACTACAATTTTTTTTGTGTTAGTTTCCATATTAGTCCTCTATTTATTGGGTGATTCATATCCCCTCCCCCGGGATCGAGAAAGCACGAGAAATTCGATTATCTTAACAAAATTTCGATCCCAAAAAAGTTTGAAAAAATCCCAAAATATCACCACAATTTTTTTATTGCGATAAGTTGCTGATTCAGTCGTTTTTCAAGAGGTAAACTCATATATTAGCCCCTGGGAACAGAAAAGATTGAAAAATTTGATTATCTTACCAAAATTTTCATTTTATGCAAAATTGCCAATATTCGAACCCAAAAAGTTCAAAAAATCGTTGGATATCACTGGGAAAATACCACAATATCTTTACTTAATTTTGGTAAGATAATCGAATTTTCGACATTATTCGCTCCATTGGCAAAAATATAATATTACCCAAGGAGAGAGGACTAAATTAGCAGCTTATTGATATAAAAAAATTGAAGTGATATCCCGCCATTTTTCGAACTTTTTTGTTTTCGAATATTGGGAATTTAAAAAAATTGAAAATTTTGTTAGAACTTAGGATAATCAAAATTTTCAAGCTTTTCCCGTCTCGGGGGCAAAAATATGGATCTACTTATGGAAAGAAGGTTAACATAGCAACTTGTTGCAATAAAAAAATTAGAATTGAATTGACATTGGCATTTCTGTGAAAATTGAAAATTTTGATAAGATAATCAAATTTTTCTTGCTTTCCGTTCCCGGGGGCAAAATATGAATTTACTTATGTAAAGAGGACTAACATAGCAACTAGTTGCAAGAAAAATATTATGGCGATATACTACGATTTTTTCGTACTTTTTTGGGTTCGAATATTAGCAATTTTGTAAAAATTCAAAAAATTGGTAAGATAATCGAATTCTTCCGGTCCCGGGGGCAAAAATATGAATTCACGAATGAATGGAGGAGTGGGATGAGAACTTATCGCAACAAAAAAATTGTGGCGATATCAGTTCCCTAACCCAAGACAGTGAGAGAACTGTTCCAAGGGAGTACGAGAATGCTGCGTCGTGATACTTGAAAATATTAAATATATATAGGGTGTCCGTAAAGTCCTAAAAGTTTTTAAAATTGCAAAGGCAATTCATCAATACCATATATTGTTTTGGTCCTCACAGGATGTAAAAATACTTGAACAATTACTGATTAAAAATCAACAAACCTGGCTAAGATATATATAGCAAAATTGAAATTGTAAAGGGACTTTATGGACGCCCTGCATAGAATAATTTAGTATTCGTACATGAGAACAGTAATATTTTGAGCAATTCCAGAATGGGTGAGCAAGAATTAGTTGAGGATTTTTCAAGAGGATAAAAAATAAATAAAAATTTCTGTTTTAGATCTTGTAATAACATATCCCCATGAATATGCTCAATCAGAATGAATGCAATATTAACTGATCAGAGAATTCAACTTTAATTCTATGTACTTACTCGTTTAGTGCCATCATCATTTTCCCACAGTACATCAAATCATAAGCATCAAGAGAACCCATTTTTCAGTTTGAACTTTCAACTTAACTGTGTAACTGATCTAGCAAAAATTAAATAAATAGGACTTTTCAGAGAACATTAGCTGTGTGGATAACACTACCTGCCTTTTTAATCTATTACTTTCCACAAATAATAATCAAGTTTACCCCTTTTTTTCCAAATAATTGCTTATCTAAAGGCTGAAATGAAGGATAATTATAACAAATTTCAGTACTACTTTATACTTCACGATTCTACAATAAGCAATACTACCAAGCACTTTCACAAAGTCAGTGGATTACGAGAGAATGAAATGGCGATACTATATTAACATGCTAACTGTTACATGGCTACGCGCTGTTATGACAGATCTCAATATTTGACGTAGAACAAAGAATTCCATGACGTCAAACTATTACGAGGACAGCACTTGAAGGTTCATTTGGCCCAGAATAAATCGAGCCTAAATCAGAGGTAATTAAATAGTCTTCATGTCTGATGCAGCAATAAATATTGTCTGAGAACAAAGTCTATAAATATATTTACACAATATCGCTGAGAGTCTTACTTGGTACCGTGGGTTGTATGATGGGTCAATATTTAACAACAGTCAATAGACCTACATAGAGAATATGCCTTGTAAGTGGGACAGAGTTACACATGAAATATTAGTTCATACATACTTCTATATCAAGTGAATCACACATTTCTTCTGAACAAGGCTCTACATAGGCAACCAGTGAGACATGAGCTGATAGAAGAACTCTAGCTAATAAGCCTTCAAGAACCCAAAGCATATCGAGTATTTTTACTAGACTGACCTTGACAAGACCAATATGGTTTACGAATTCCAGAAGTTCAACTCAAGTTTCACTTGAGGCACCCTAAGCCGTAACAGAAAGCTTTGTGTATTATTTTGCTTAATAAAAAAATAACTGATTTAGGAAACCCTGCATCCGAAGCTAAGTTTATTTAGAAGTGTAGAGCTAATGCACTATGATAAAAGAGTTGATACAGGGCCCAGTATCGAGGTAGGTGATTTCCTAATTTGCCAAAATAGCAAGTATTTGTGTGGCGTCAAATATTTTTAATAAGACTAGGATCTGTCATTTTTTAAGTTTGTTACCATCCTCGAGAAATTCCCTGATAAATTGGGAAACCCGCTGGACATCATGATTTTCCATGCGTTCAAATGCCTTTCAGATCGTGACGCAACAATCAGCAAGTCAGCATTGTGGACAACTTCACTTTGCTTGTAGTTTTAATTTTTATGCGTCAGACAGTGCTGGATTAACCAATGAGCAATACAAGCACCACGTGCTCAGAGTAGCAAGGGAAAGTGGGCCCAACAGAAATAGACGATTCAGAAAACGATTTTCAACTATTGTTCATCGCAGATATATAAACGTGTAGCTTCGGACTTGAATATCCCAGTTACAACCTAAATTCCACTACACTTCATCGAAAACTCATATAGACACAGACGTCGAACGCTAGGACGTTTTCTTTTATTTTAGCCAGGGATGCCATCGATATGAACTCAAGAATAAGGACATCTTGAAAACATAATAATAAGATCACTAAATTTGAAGTATAGTTAAACCGGTATAGTCATGTTTGTCCATAGCACTGATTCTCAACGATGGTATTAAGTTATGAAGTCGAAATTAACACATGTTGAAATGCTCATAGCGATTTTAGGTGCGAAATATCTTATGTTATTCATATTTTGGGCTTTTGGCTAAGCCCAAGCCCCTCTGACAACTCTATAATATCCTGCAAATATAATGTTACTCAAGTTTACGGCGAGGTCGAACATAGGAAGGGAGTGGATAGAAATGACATAAAATCCGCGCGCGTTTGAATTTCACTATGTGATAAACTTCCGGCTAAGAACATTTTATTTCACAGATATAATTCGATATTGCGGGATTTTACTGTGCACTTGATTCATGTTAGCTGTTATATTTTGCTGATAATGAGTTATTTTACTGAAAATTAATTCAAATCGCTGTTATTACGGTATTTACTGTGTATTTTTATTTGCTGTGCTATTTTCGTATTTACTTGTGTTTATTTATTTGTTTGTGTTATTTAATGGACGTGATGGTCAGGACTCTGGAGTATAAACGAATTGAATTCAAATTATAAACATTTGTTCTGGGCAACCTCAATATGGCGCAGGGTTATATTCTATCACTTTCATTCATGTAAAACAATAGACGGACGCCTTTTTCAACATTTTAAAGCAGTTTGAACTTAAGAAAATTGAGCTACCAACGTATTTTTAAAGATAGTTAGCTACACAGCTACATTGGAAAAAGCTGGGAGCACTCGAACAGCTGGCAACCAAAATTTTTGATATTTGTTTAATTTTAAAACTTCTCAAAAGGTGTTGGTAAAAAAGGTCATAAAATTGTATTGAAACTGGTTTTGGGCAATGATGGTCACTGTAGCAAATGTGGAATGTAACTACAGACTGATAAATGGCTACCACGCAGTGTTAGTAATCAGTAGTTTATTTTTTCATCCTACAGAAAATACACATGTACAAAGTAATTCGGGGCGGTGAAAAACTCGATAAGTCATTGGTATTGACTGTCGCACAACGACACATAAAGTGTATGATGAGTTCCGGCCTCTATCTACAAGTCTCACCATACGTAGAGCGTAATTGAATAGTTCGAGTAAATAAATGAATGAAATACTATTTACAATTGTAAATCACGCCAAAAGAAAACACTTTCCGCTGTTTTAATCAATCATGTTTGATACCTAAATCAGTAGAAGTTGACAAAGATCGAGATAACTGTAAATTATTGCATATAAAATTATTTGTTCACGGTTTTGAAAATCCAGTTCTTGTTTATAAGGGAACATTCAGAGTAATGGATGCTCCTTTTTTGATGTCTTTCATACCCAGTGTTCCAGCAACTACCCAGGAGTTCCCTGTGGGATCAAATTCTTCTATTGTGCTCTTGGGCTTATTTCTGCAATGAACAACGACAGAATCAAAGTATAAAATGGGAAATCCAAAACTTTATGTATGTAAATAGCTGATTCAGTGATGTATCTACGGCATGGCTCGTGGGCGCCGCGCCGTTTTAGATAGAGGCGAAAAAGAGCGAAAAGTTTTAATCGTGAAATATTTCAAACATATAACATATATATAAGTGATTCAATAGTCCTGCTGCACACTAACACAAATATATTTCTGTAGATAGTCTCGTAGAAACCCAATCAATATCAAAATATAATTTCAAATATCTGAGAGTCGTACTTTTATTTAGATAATAACGTAAACTACAGTTATCCTTATACAACAACAGTCGTTAAAAATTATCAGGGGGAATCATATTGATACTTTTCCATGGGCGCCATTTTACACAGATACTAAGTTGAAATATACCCTGATACTTGATTTGTAAATATTTTTAAAATGAGTTCATGAATAATGGCTAAATAGTGGCGTCAGGGCTCATTTGGGGTGAAATTTCTGTTTTACCCAGTGATATCGACACATAAAATTCAATTAATCATGCTAGACTAGGAAATCAATTTTTTTTTTGCAACAGCATTTTTTGTATGGTTGAATTATTGCTTATTCAGACGTGATCAAGTAAATGTCGCTGATAAACAGTCTTGAATAACTGATACACAATATATATAGTCACAACATGTTGATTGAATATATTCAATAAGTATGTCAGTTCATAGAATCGCGTTACAACTCACCTTTCAACAGAAAATATCTTTCCTTTAACAACACATGCTTTAAAATATCCGAATGAATTGTTTAAACAGGGAACAGGGGTTCATGTTTCAGAAGCCATGTCAAAGCATTCCAAAATGTTGTGGCATATATTGGCGTATCCACCTTGTCAAATAAAATAATCTCAGATTCTTGCAATATTCGCCTCGAAACAACTCAACTAGTGAGCTTTTGTCGATTGAAATATTGCGTTTCATAATTTCCTAATCGCTAAACCAAAAAGAATTCGAAAAAAACATATTTTATAGTCTTGCTAGTATTTTGTAGATGAAAATCTTAAACGAACTTATTTTTGATCTTAGCTAAATGAACTAATCAATAGTTCTAAGACAATATTGTAGGTCTAACATCAATAACAACGCAGTAAATTTTTAATAACTGTCAAATTGCAGCAGGGTAATAAATATGAGTGGTTGCTATGAAGAAGCTAGTTTGAAGTGCATGTGCAGCAAAGAATATACTATAAAGAAAATTCTCACTCATGACATAAATCTTTCCATCGAGCTCAACTACAGCTGCACGATTTCTTGCATATGTCATTGAAGGAAGGGTCGTCCATTTTGAATCTGACGGATTGAATTTCATTGCGTTAGATAGATATCCATGGTTGTAACCTCCAAAACAGTATATAAAACCTGGACAGAATAAAACAAGAATATGAATCTGCATTGGAATATTACAGCATGTTCCTGCAACATAACATATGCATAATGCAGAGAATAACAGTTTATTAACCTGGCTATTTCACCACAGAACTACAATTGGAGAATATACCTGAAACCCACTGAACTTTTATTGATCTCATCAATCAATCAATTTTATTATGGTCACTCTGGCATAAAACAAAGCAACAACAATTGAACAAACAAAGCGCAGAGGACCCGAAGGGTGAGCATAACTTAAGGACAAAGGTAAAACTACGCAAATGTCAACAAATGCACTATGATCATCGTTGGATTTCTTTGTCATAACTATGATTTGACCATGGCCTATGACCCTATTTTTTCTATCACAGTTTTCAGAACTGAAGTTTTCTTATGTTTTTCTGAGACACCTGAATTGCTGATTTTTTTTATTTTACGAACAAAATGACTCAAAATTATTCCGCAAACAAAGAATTTATAAATATGTATTTACTTATAAAAAATTTTGAATCAATATCAATATTTAATTTGTTTGGAAGATAACAGATATTGTGCAAATTAAATTATTATTCAAACTGAACTAAAAAAAAACTCGATTTCCTATTAAAGCACCATGGCAATGTTTTATAGGTAATGATTACTGTAGCTATATCACCATTACAGCCAATTCTACATTAATCTCTGTTCTGTCAAGTTTTATATGGCATCCGAATTACTATAACGCATAATTATGCCCATACCAGAATGGCGAACCTTTTCCAACCGATGGGTTAAATATTATATTTTTATAATAGAAAAGAAGACTGTGTGTCATGATACCTAACCAATGTCTGTCTACCAATGAGAAACTTGCTATTGAAACTTGTATTTATGTTTATTATTGTGTAGTTTTGAGCTTTATCGCCAGCATATTCGTACTGTTAAGATAGTTCACATATTCTTAGATTCAATTAATGCCGGGTTTTACATAAATTTTTATCACTCAACAAACATTTGTATATTTTTAGCTGGACCACATGGATATTTCCGATTTCCTATATATATGTTCATCAAACCTACATCCTGCAGCAACTACTGATGTAAACCATCCTTCCAATGGTTTCTCAGTGACATGAGACCAAGTTCCATCAGATGGAACAAATTTTCCAACTGCTTTACTGTTGTTGCCAGAATCATCGAATGCATAGATTAAACCTGGTTGTTAGAAAATAAATGATTCAAAGTAAGGATGAAAAATTAGGAAATCACATCACAAAATTTTTCTGCGCCAGCTGGCAGGCACTATAGGTCGTGGTCTACCCGTAGATACGTCACACAGCAATGTAAATTTGCCGTTGCAAAAAGGGACATCTTCGACACGAAGACCGGTGATAGCAGTGCGGTAAGCCTGTGTATCCTTGTCGTTTAGTTGATCTGTGGCCATAATTTCATAATCGATGCCGTCATTGATGTCGTTGATGACCGCGCGCGACAGGGCGTCGGCGACAGTATTATCCTTACCGGAAATATGTTTTATATCTGTTGTGTATTCAGATATGAAATTGAGGTGACGCTGTTGTCGCGCTGACCATGGCTCAGAGACTTTTGACATAGCAAAAGTGAGGGGTTTGTGATCTGTAAAAATCGTGAAGGTTCGTGCTTCGAGAAAATAACGAAAATGTCGTATTCCTAAGTAAACGGCCAATTCAAAGCAATGTTAACGACAAGCGAACAGAAAACAGAATGACAAGTTATCGTAAGAAAAGCACGTAAGTAATCATGCGTGACAAAAACATAAACAAAACAATTGTGACTCATAACGGCTATTATTAGTTAAGTGGTTCGCCACAATACTACTATTGGAAAGTTGGCCATATCAGTTGATCAATTTCACAATGATATATTAATTTGAAATAAATGTTTTTAGTTAATGGTGATCTTTCGTTCATAACAGAAAACACAAGAAATTTGAATACTCCACTCTCAATTATGTTCTTTAAATCTTTTCATTCCATACTAACCTTCAAAAGCAACAGCAGCCAGACGTTTCTTCGTAATTCTCCGATCTGCCAGTCTAATCCATGTAGCATTGGTTTCAGTATAATTAAGTTGATAATTGGTTCCATCAAACACAAGAACATATATGGTGTTGCCAAGTACAACAGCAGTGAAGTTTTCGTCAACAAAGTCAGCACTGATTTTCTGTTGAATAAGATTGCAGTATTTGATTCAAGTCAATAAAACTATGGTGTCATGGATAGTGCTTGGCACTTTGGAATATCTGTTGTTTCAGAATCGAATCGAAAATTTTTTTGAATTGAATTTCGGATACATAAATATGTAATTGTACGTAATTTTTATTGTGATTGTAATTAGACACATCAATCGATAAAAACACGTGATCTATCACTCGGACAGTTTGCTGGGTGTTAACACACAATAAAAATCATGTTTCATCAATAGGGAGAAAAGAGTCAAATGTCAGAATTGAATTTTAAAAATAAGGCTTGAATACGAAAAATGAGGAATTACCCTCAACCGGCAGATAACAGAAAACAAGATGGCATCGAATCAAAATTTCCGACTGACACGGTCCAATTTACCATTTGATTTGAAATGCCCAGTCATGATAACCATGGATCAAAATTTAAGTCTTTTTAAAGCAGGACTAAATAAATTTTTATTTACTAGTAATGTAGTCAAAGAGTCTGTAAGAGTGTTGCTTTACAAACCTGGAGTTTGGTCCAGGTTTTCGTCTTTGGATGAAATGCATGAATTGATCTTGATTTTATATCAAAAACAGCAATTGCTGAAAATTTTTTGAGGAATTGTAAACATGTATGAAAAATAAATTGGGGCATCAACCAACAGATTTGTTTACTTGAACTAATGACGTGGAACCAGACAATCAATCAATCAATCATTTATTCGTCGTCACAAAAACATCAAATGCACAAAAAATTGGTACAATAAATAAATATAATAATAATGATAATTAATGACAAAGATTTTTATATGAGGAGGTTTGTACTTTTCAATGAATGATCAATTAGGTAATCAAATAAAAGTTCACATCACAAGACTATGAACTAATGACACAACCTTACAGCAAATAATATTGATATTTTGGTTCCCACAAACTTACCATTGATCGGCTTGGCAGCATCTGAAAAAATTAGAAAAGTTCCAAATTTAATTTCAATCCTGTGGCATCGAAAAAATCGTAGATAAGAAATCATCAACAGAAAAGTTCACTCAAATTTTTGTGACGTTATTAAAACTAATCAATATACATACTTTTGATGTCAATATCTTCAGCTACAATACGTGATCCATCGGTTGGAATATTCATCAGTGCTGCGTGATAACGTGCAGAATCAAAGACCAGAGGCTGAATTACAGAACAAAGTCCATTATCAGAGAGTGTAATAATCACATCGCCACATGGATAAAATGAAGTAATAAATGGCAGTGTTCAATGTAAACAAGACACAAAACGAGAATATCGGTCGGAGACCGAAGACTTATCGATCGAAACTGCGGTTTCGATTCATGACTTCATAGTGACACCGCGTGTCCCATCAATAATTAATAACTCGCTCATTATACGACATAAATCATCCAAAATCAATAGGCTTCTGGTCCGAGAAATGATGAATGTACATGCAAAATTTGGAGCAGATTCATCTTCGCCTTCGTGAGATATCGCGTTCATCTAATCTAACAGACAGACAAATACTTATCAACATACTTACCGTTCTTAAGATCGATAAGTAACTAGCGGTCTGCAAAGTTAAACATGGTATTGTTTTCCGTAACGTAGCAAAGTTCAAAGTGAGAAAAAACATCGCATGTTCAGCAATGTCAAGTACTCGACTACAATAACTACCCAACTATCTCCGATAAAATAAAATTAATTTCCCAACCTCTTTCTCCACCAAAAACTTTTGATATTTCTTTGATATCTTTGCCAAATCCAGTTTTTCAAATAATTTTAGAAATGTTGATGTTCGAGTCTCTACATCATGGTTGGTCCAAATAACCAAAGCTTTGCACTTGACTGCTTCAGTAGTCTGCAATCAGAAATCAGTAATTTATTTTTGCACATACCGAAAATACAAAACTATACAAACAGTGTGGTAAAACATAAATAATTATATTTTGGCGTGAAGACGCGATAAACCAGCCATGGTTATCGTCAGCGTTACCTTCGAGGAAGTCCAACATAGAATCATAAAAATAACAAGTTAAGGAATAACAGAAATCGGCCTTACATGTACGTTTAAGCGACCTGGTGATTCCAGTACAGAATGGCCGTGGACATTCCCGGAATTGACATCTAGCGTCCCGGGCTGGACTACGGTTGTCACGGAATTTAACGACAATCAGGGCGTTCTAAATTAGAGGGCATTGTAAGCGTGTCGGCTTTGTTCAAAACTGGAAACGGATGTAATTCACGCAAATATAATTTTGAATAAAAACGATTACATCTGTATGGTTTATTCGAACAGACGTAAGTTGAAATTTGTGGATAAGACATGTTTTGTCAACCTTGACCTCTTGATGACATAACACTAAACTAAGCTGAACACAATGGATGATAACATCATATACAGCAGTCACCTTAATTTGAGAAGATTAAAAACTTAATTTGATGAGATTTGTTGAAAAATTTAGTCAATAAAGTTGTGGCGTGTAATAATATTTTGTGTTTCTTGTTTTTAGTTTATAATGCACAGCTAGTGTAAGGCTCATTGGGAGCAGGATTTCATTATTCAGTCAGTTTTCAGGCTCGCATAGCCGTCTGTTTTAGGACGCCTTGCTGACAGCTCTTGTCTTAGCGAGAGTTCATTAATATTATATTTCCGTAAGGATTACAAATTTTAACATAAACTCGGTGAAAACTAACAAAGATATTTTTAAAGCGGCAAAATCACAACAAAAATACTAATTTGAATACTAGAAAGAGTGCTTTTTTTGAATAATTAAATCTACTCAACACAAATTAAACATTTTCCTTTTTTAGTTTTATGCGTTGCTTTTATGCGTCAACGGTTCAACATTTAACTAGTTTCTTTGATTACGATAAAATTATTTACAGTTTCTGAAAATAACGCTGCACAATGCGCACTGTTACTTTTGACATGCTTTGTGTTTCACAAGCTTCCGTTGCATCAATTTTCAAATTAAGGTGTCCCGGAATGGTTTAACACAATGTTGGCAATCCTAGGTTAGGGCGATCAGGAGATTTTTATATTTATGTTTAAAAGAGACGTATGAGGAATCGCGTAGGTCTCGGGGGAGATCATTTCAAATTAGAACATCTTTGTATTACAAGGAATTTTGGGATTTGGTTAACGAGAAGCGAGGTACAAGGAAATTACCCCTTGTTGAGGAGTGAGTGTTATGTTCATGCACTGAACTAATAGTGGCGAAATAATGGACAAAAGCCGCTGGCAATTGATCGTTTTGAAATTGATGCATAACCTATGTAATTTCAAACTTATGAATGTCAGATAATTCAAGCACTTTATTCTTGTAGTATAAGTTGTTTAAGGGTGCCCCGGGGAGAATTCTAATGGCCCTATTTTTGTAAAACTTTCAATTTATGCTTGTTTGTTTGACTTGTAGAGCCCCATGGCATATTGAATGTGACACTGGAAGAGCGCAAAATAGACTTGTGTGGAATTTCGTAAATAATGATTGGCTTACTCAGGATCCCTACAGATCTTGAAAGTTTTCTATGCCCTTCAGCGGTATGCGTGTTCCCCTTTATTTGGTTGTCGATGTTTAGGCCAAGTTATTTACGACCTCCAATTTGATTTCAATTGAAAAATTGTGTTGTTCAGTGCGAGATTTTGGGCTGAACAACATGACTTTAGATTTTTCTACATTCACGGTGAGCTTATTGCATATCATCCAATCGAATATTTTATTTTTTCCAGAGTTTATAATAAGTTGGAGTGTGGTCATATCCTTCGCGCTGGTGAGCAAGTAGGAGTTCCCAGCGAATAGTTGGTCTAAACGACTAGAGCCGTTGGACAAGTTCTTTATGAAACTCAAGAAAGCTAGTGGTCCAATTACAAACCCCTGAACACTTCCGCAGTGGATGGGCAGCATTGGAGATCTATAGATACCCACTTCAACAAATTAATTACGACCCGTAAGGTAATTCGATAATAGTTTCCTGCAGTCACTCTCAAACCATGGTATTTTAACTTATGAGTGAGAATACTATGGTCAACCATGTCAAAAGCTTTTCTCAGATCTAGAAATGTACAACATACATACTCGCCTTTGTCAATTTTGTCATAAATAAATGAGTTTAAGTCAAAGTTAGCATGGGTCATTGAATGGTGAGACTGAAATCCAAATTGGCATTTGTTGATCTAATTAAATTCAATGCAAGAGCTGATCATCTTAGTATATAATAGTTTTTCCAATTGAACAGAAATCAAAATTTTTAGATTAGTAGGAAGATGGGCGATTAAAGGTTTACCTGGGTGGACTTGCTGAATAAGATAATTTTGAATTTCTAACGATAACAATATTAAATACATTATAATTTCATATATAATTACGATAAAAAATATATTAGCAATTTTTTATTCCTCACATTGATTTCTTTTGATCCAAGCAAGAAGGAAACAAAATCTTCATCCAAACGTTTGAAATTTTCTTCAGCAGCGATTGATTGGAAATTCCTCAGAGCATATTTGTTGCAACTTTCAACTAAACCGACGCAGTTGAAAGTGTTTGCGATCATCTTTGTTGAATAGAACGATCCTGGACTCAGTTTCTTTAAAAGCGAAATGGCAATTTTGTCGCACAAGCCTAAATAAAATGGTAATCTATCATATAAAGCAGAAAACAGCAGTTTTAGAAACAAGATATTCGGTGCCGTGCACTTCGATTCATTTTTCATGCCTTTATTAATTTCACCAAGGGAACAGAAAAGTAGATATAAAAAAGCTACAAAAATCCTACAAACAAATTTTGACTGAATAGACTGATTGTCAATATCATTCTCAATCATTACAAGAAATCCTTACGACTGATAAAGCCAAGATAAACTGACTGATAAAGATTGATTGAGCACCCAACTTGTTCCATTAGCAATTTAAAAAATTTACCAGAAGCCACTCACCTTTTATTTGCATCATAGAAGCGGTGTATAATAGTTGCTCACAATCTTCGCCATAATGAGTGAGAAGATTACCGGTATAAATATATTCGATGCAAGTTTTTACACTTGAGTATTGAACTTGTTGCATTGCCACAATTCCATTTCTACTTTCAATATTCTAGAATAAGAAGCAATGCTGTGTGAGATTATAAGTAAACTGCAGCTGCTCAATCGAGCAATATAAAAAGTATAACATGAAATCAATAAAAAAGGCTGCGAAATCATTGGGAAACTGGTAAAATTCAACAGTGCAATGTAAAAGACACAATAAGAAATCAATAAAAAGACATGAACATATTTATTTCAGGTGACATGTATTTGAAGACTGTGGATCAAGGGATGCTGAAAGAGTAATTTAGCAAATTTCAGCGGGACTGATAAGAGGCGATTAGGAGTTTTATATATTTATGTTTGAAAGAGGCGTATGAGGAATCGCGTAGGTTTTTGGGGAGATCGTTCCAAATTAGAACATCTTTGTATTTTAAGGAATTTTAGAATTTGTTTAACGAGAAGCCAGGTACAAGGAAAATACCCCTAGTTGAGGAGTGAATGTTAAGTTCATGCACTGAACTAATAGTGGCGAAATAATGGACAAAAACCACTGGCAATTGATTCTGCATATATAACACTCAAGATAAAGGTTGACAAGGGCCAAAGGTAGGTTAACAGTTATTGAGTTAATTAACTAGGGATAACTGTTATCCTAATTTTGGGCCACCCTGTATATTGAGAGGTTTCATGACGCAATCTTCGTGTTCTCGGTGAGGTTGTCAGCAATAGGTTGTAATATAATGGGGAATAAAGCTAAGGACATTTTATATGGTTTCATGAATCCTGATTATTGCTATTATTTATACAAGAGAATATCTTCTAATACTTGATAAATTAAGATGCAACACTCACTTCATGAGACAACATTGCCCGAAAGTAATCTGATCCTGCTGACAGAACATTCCTGTGTGCTGGTATTTTTCTATCACCAACCATAATTGCGAAATCACAATGCTCTTTGCTTTCTCTTTGTCTGAAATTAAAACAACTAACTTATTTAAATTTGAAAACACTGCAAAATTTACCAAGTTTGTAGCTCAGGCATCGAGAAAGTTTTTGTTTCAACTCCAGACTGTAACGAATAGAAAAAAAGAAAATAAGACAGCTCGATCATAAATGAATTACAACGTGTAATCCAGTTGATTGGATACAAAAGCAGCTAACTAGTGAACAAATGTAACCGGTCAATTTATCACAAACCTACACACTGTGGTAGTGGGCATTGAGTTTTATGTTAGAATTTTCCAACTTGCAATGTCAACATCACTATACACAACACTCTTACCAAAATGGTGATATTGAAGATTACATAAGTAAAATCACAATTCAATATTTTTAGTGACAGAGAAGTCTGATGCATGCATATAATACTTCTGGACCAAATAATAAAAAGACATAATAAGCACTTTCTGTTATAACAAGATTATGCATATAGAAATAGAACCACGAGTGACCTATCTGTTGCTGAGAATTTCACAGAATGTCTTTCAATAAGAACTACGATACAAGCTGAAAATTAAATTATACAGCTATTCAATAATGTTATTCAAGTTTATTACTTATCGATCTTAAGATCGGTAAGTATGTTGATAGGCATTTGTCTGTTTGTCTGTCTGTTAGATGAACGCGATATCTCACGAAGACGGAGTTGAATCTGCTCCAAATGTACATTCATCATAACTCGGATGAGAAGCCTATTGATTTTGGATGAAATATGTAGTATAATTAGCGAGGTATTATTTATTTACTAATGGGACACGCGGTGTCACTATGGAGTCATGAATCGAAACCGCAGTTTCGATCGATAAGTCTTCGATCTCCGACCGATATTTTCGTATTTTAAATTCTCTAGCGTGCGAAGATATTTCACCCAACATTCGGCTGTCTATTTATCTCATGGAAATACTTTTATATGACACACGGGAACACTTTTTATACGACACGCAGGAACACTTTTTATATGGCACATGCGTAAATACACTTTTATATAGCACATGAGAACACTCTTCTATGACACTTGGAAACACTTATATGATACATGGGAACATTTTATATGACCTTATATACGGGAACACTTTTATACGGGACATGGAAACACTTATATCACACGTATGAAAACTTTTATATGACATATGGAAACATTTTATTATGAAACATGGAAATTCTTATATGACACATTATATAGCACATGGGAACACTACTTATACATGAAAACACTTATATGATATATGGAAATATTTTTATATGACCTGACACATGCGAACACTTTTATATAACACTTGGGAGATGACAACTGGAAACACATTCTGTGAAATATTTGGGCATTTCCTTGCCCCTTGTCCAATATTTACTGCTATCCGGTTATTGCCCCACCAGTAATTCTATTTGTTTATTGGACCGTGAGGTCCAATTTCATTGATGTCAGTTTGTCTAAATTCGTAAATTCGACAAGAACCTGGGCAGCAATGATAAGTTATGCAAGAGTTGGAAGAAATGAAGCGATTGAAAGGTGAGAAGTCATGTATCAAGTTGTAGGCTGACAGTTGATGTCTAAAATTATCAATCATGTTTCAAAGCAATGGCAAAAAGTCAGTAAATCTAATTTAAATTTTATGTTCTTAATGAAAAATATACCTTTTTTTTAATTTTAATTGAAAAGATTTGATAAATACTTCTAAAATAACTCACCATCTTACTGATTGACGTTAAAAAAAAATAAGAAATTGAATTCACTCAACGACATGACCCGCGAGGTCTAGCGTGTCTTATTATGATTCAGTACAATGATCTGGCATTTTCAGACATTCATTCCTTGGCTTTTAAATTATTCTGAATCTTAATACCTTCCAGCAATATTGTAGTCCGAAGCTATTCAATATCTAGATTTGTAGTACACACTAGCTAATATATGTATAAAACTTGTCTGGCAGAATATTCTGAGTCTATTTTAAGTATATTAATTCTTCCAGTTCAGTTGAATTATTCTAGGCTTTCACAAAAAGATTGTGAAAACAGTATGAATCAGATTCCATATCAAGGTTTGGTATTATACTTAATGAGATCCTGAATATTCTCAGTCTGTTTTCAATGCAATGTTAACAAAGCAGTAAATTTTACATGAAATTCTATGGACTTACTTATTGAGTGCCATCATCATTTTCCCACAGTGCTTCAAATCATATGCATTAAAAGTTAGATTCATTGTTTCGGTTCCAGGTGATTAGAAAATTCTGACTAAACTCACTAGGTTGCAGATGAATCAAAATAGCTTTGTGAACATAAAAAGGTTTAATAGTCTCTGTCCATATTAACATGAAAGTTCCAGTATAATTTCCACATTTGACATGAGAGATTTTCATGCCTTGCTAATTTACGGAAGGATTGTAAGTTAAGGTGTACCCTGATTATCGTCGTCTCAACGACAGATGTAAACTATACTCAGCCAACTCGACAACAACCAGCTTAATGTATCGCCATAAACACAAAGCAAACTGACAACCTAAATATAAAATATAGCCTGGGGGCTTTTACTTATTTGAATATTATTTTATAAAATTTTAAATTCATTATGCTGAGACGTGGTGACAATAAATTCCACACAATAGCGCATAAGTAATTGACGCACATTATATGCTATATCCTCCACTGTTCCCATTTCTTTTGGCGAATTCAATTAATGAAAAACAACGGGGCTCCCGAAGTATGCGAACCAAGATGGCGGACATCGGAATGTAATATGTGTACTAGGTAAGGGTTAGGCCATAATTTCAGGTATAAATACTACGGGAGGCTCTTATCTAGTCTTCGAACTGATAATAGGACTAAAATTGGAAAAAAATTATCGCCTATCCCTAACCTGTTACCCATGTTACGTTCCGATGTCCGCCATCTTGGTTCGCATACTTCGGGAGCACCAAAACAACTCAAGACTGAACAAAGGATTTTTTCACAAGTCATTTACTAATGTTTCCCTCTTTGGCACTAGGCCGCGAAATAATGCCGTTTATCCTCCAGTTTTGTAGCGGATATATAATAAACTTGTTGTACAAAATTTTGAAATGTTCCTTCGAAATTTAGTAATAAATGATACCTTGTTCCAATTTCCATGAGTTGCACGTTTTACAAAAAAAAACGCTTGTACTACAAGAAATATGTGCTACCATCTGCCCTATAGTCTCTGCTTTTCCGGCAACATTGGCCAATGAAAGCAGACTTCTGTATGAGGTAACAATAAAATTTTTATCAGCTGCAGTCGGTCGGATGAATCTCAGTTTGTACTGCTCGCTCTAGCGTGGAGTTGGTAACTTTTGCGTCGTATTTTTCAGTTATTTTAGTTAAGCTCGGCTAAGACGGTGTTAAAAAGTATAAGTAAGCTATTAAACACTTGTAGATTCTTACCATGATTAGCGATTTTAGTTTCGTACTAGCGAATATAACGTTGTTAAATAAGTAGGGTGCAGTAACTTCAAGGAAGGCTAGACCTAGAAAGATATGCCCCCGAACAACCATATAGTATTTTCATGCTTGTATGGAAGTTTTGTGATTAATTTAATGACGATTCTTACTACTCAGCAAACTTATACTGCTATATAGGCTACAGCATATTTAATTCAGAAAATATTGATCCTTTGAGTAATACACGTTTGTGACAATCCAATTTCATTGATGTCAGTTTGTCTAAATTCGTAAATTCGACAAGAACCTGGGCATCAATGATAAGTTATGCAAGAGTTGAAAGAAATGAAGCGATTGAAAGGTGAGAAGTCATGTATCAAGTTGTAGGCTGACAGTTGATGTTTTAAGATATACAAGGCATTTCAGACTGTGATTTATCGAGATTCAGTGTAGAAACAATGCAGGACTGTAGTAACAATAGACAAAAATGATTACGAAGCATATATAAAACAATACTTTCAGTGTGAAGGGAGGCGCGATAAACCAGTGAAGGTTATCGAGCAGCGTCTCCCTGGGGAGGTGAGTCTAAAAATTAAATCATAGTGAGAAAAAAGTCAAACAGGATACTAGCAAAAGTCGTGAATAATAAATAAAATAATAAAGTCGAAAACGGCCTTTTAACACATTTGAGTGACCGATATTGCGGTGTCACTCTAGGTAATATGAGAAAGCGACTCCCGACACCACAGTTCGGGGTCGCCATGGTAACAGCAATTGGTTATTGAATACCAAACAGAAAAATAAAGTCGAGTTAGTTATTCCAATCGATGCGGAAATAGTGTTATATTTTGACGCCGTACCGAAGTACGGCATAGGAGGATAGAGATCACCGGAAAGTATAAGTGAATTCAAGAGCACTTAGAATTTGAGTGATGTTTAAATATAAACTTGTAGGTCTCTATCGAAGCTGGAGGCAGATGTATACATGAAAATGTAACAAAAATGGGGAAAAAAAGCAATAAAAGGTAAGCATTATTCTGGTGAATACTAAGCTGTTAAGCATAGGATAGAGCCAGTACAAAAACGCATGAGACAACAAAATGCACTGAAAATATACAAATAGGATGATGAGAACCAGTATAGTACCGGTAAGGTATCATGCTATATTAATAAAATAAAGCTGCACCTAATAAATACCAATAATTGATAATAATATCTTAATAAATAAAAATAATACGGGCTAACGCTTGTAGTATTAAGAGATAGTTGTTTAAGCGTTAACTCAAAGATAGGCACTTGTGTGTGACTGTATGACCAATGTATGACTGTATGACCACGGAAAATACAACGATAATTTAACATAAAATAAACAGGTTTCTTTATTACATGCAGGCTGTGGATCGAGTTGAATATGACCTTGGTGGACACAAAGTAAGAATAAAATATAAAACAGCGACTTGGAAGATTCAGGTGGGTTGATTAGAGGAGATCAGGAAGTTTTTATAATTAAATTTGAAAGTCATGTAAGATGACTCACGTAGGTCTTGGGGTAGACTGTTCCAAATTGAAACACCTTGATGTTTTAAAGAATTTTTGGATTTGCTTAGTGAGAAGCGAGGTACAAAAAATTACTCTTTGTTGAGGAGCGGGTGTTGTATTTATGCACTGAACTTAGGATGAGAAAATACTGGTTGAAAGCCGCTGGCAATTGATTATTTAGGAATTGGTGCATAATCTTAGAAATTTCTAGTTTGTAGATGTCATGTAATTTTAGTACTCTATGGTTATAATATAGATTGTTTAAATTGGAACGTAAAGGTGCCCAAGAAAGGATTCTAATGTCCCTATTTTGTAAGACTTCCAATTTACGCATGTTTATTTTAGCTGTAGAACCCCATGCCGCTATGGCATACTGAAAGTGGGCCTGGAAAAGTGCGAAGTAAATGGTTCGTAGTGTGGTATCCTGTAAGTAATATGTAAGCTTACCCAGGATACCTAGCGTTCTTGATAGTTTTCTATGCAAATCAACAGTGTGGGTGTTCTTCTTTAATTGGTGGTTGATATTGAGTCCTAGATATTTATTAGATTGGACTACTTCTAATTTTTTGCCCTTGATTCCAATTGCGAGGTTGGGGTATATAGTGTGAGATTTTGGGCTGAACATCATGACTTCTGACTATATTCACTGTTAGCTTGTTGCATAACATGCATTCATAAATTTTATTTATTTCAGTGTTTATATTTAGTTGGAGTGTAGTCGGATCCTTCGCGCTGGTGAGCAAGCATGCATCATCTGCAAATAGTTTACTCAAAAGATTCGAGCTGTTGGACAGGTCGTTTATGAAACATAAGAACGCTAATGGGCCAACTACCGAGTCCTGGACAATTCCGCAGTGAATGGGTAACATTGGGGATCTATGGGGACCTATTTCAACAAATTGATACCGGCCTGTCAGGTAATCGAATAACAGTTTTTCTGCATTACCCCTAAAACCGTAATGTCTTAACTTGTGAATGAGAAAAGAGTGGTCTACAGTATCAAAAGCCTTTTTTAAATCTAGGAAGGCGCAACAAACATACTCGCCTTTGTCTATTTTATCATATATAAATGATGTCTGATCAAGGATAGCATGACTGGTTGAGTGTTTGGTCTGGAATCCAAATTGACATTTGTTTATCAAACTGAATTTAGTACAATAGCTCATCATTCTGGTATACAACAACTTTTCCATTATGATGCTAATTGAAGATAAAATAGAGATTGGTCTATAATTTGAAGGGTTATTTTTTTTACCGCATTTAAAAATTGGTATAACCCTAGCAAGTTTTAATGAAGAAGGAAATATACCTAGATTGAAAGACGAATTGAAAAAATTACTCAAAGCTTGTGATATGATATCAGCAACTAATTTCAAAAAATAAGAGGAAATACCATCCGGTCCAACCGCTTTACCCTTTTTCAGGTCCCTAATTACACAGAGAACTTTTAAAGGTGATGTTGACTCAAGAAAAAAAGAGTTTTGTAAAGGGACACCCAAGAATTCAGCATTTGATTTGGTACTATGTGGGATTTCATCTGCGGGTTTTTCACTATAAAAGAGAAGAATTTGTTGAATTCAGTGGCCACGTGGGCGGGGTCTGTCACAATAGTTCCATCTTCCAGTTTTAATTGTGAGACCAATGACATTAAACAACATGATAGGCAACTCTGACGTCACTTCATAAGGCTACAGGCGAAAGATTGTATTTCATTATACGCTCCAATGCACATATTTCTCGTCGCCTTGCGCGACCGTTTTCCGCTAGCTTTTGCTACTCGGCGTTTTCTTTACGTGTAGTACCTTCCTATTTGCGCCTGTAACGAAAGAAAATAATCCTTATATCTAAGAAGTTTTGCTCACTTGGAAAGCTGGAATTGCAGACAAGCTGTGAGTGGGAAAATGGACATCCTGGACGTTTTTTTATCAGAGAAGATAACAAACGCGATAGCGTAAAGATTTGTGTGGAACATTTTGCAGATAATGACAAAGTTCAAAGTTAGTAATTTTAATGTTTGCGCTTAAACATTGAAATTTCATTCAAAGAGGGTGTCATACAAAACAGCAAAACTGTTTGTACTTCTTTTTACAGTGCTGTGGTACAATTCCATAACACAAAGTTTGCACCTATCGAACTTGATTTAGTAGGTGAATTTATTAGACATATTACATATTCAGTTAATCGTAGGTAACATTTCTGGTACATAATGCCCCGTAGATAGGTTTGTGTCTAAATTTAGCTCATAGCTCAATAATATTATCTTCGATGCAGGAGGTTGCAGGGCTGAATTCAACTTGCAGCCTTACCGACCACCTGACGATGCTCATTTAGTTTGGCTCGAGCAAGTCCTTTTGAAAGATTTGTGTGAATGGGAACTACCAATATGTTTTGCTTTCCTCCGATTTTAGAAGACAAATTTATTCTGAGGGATTTCGCATATATATAATTCTCATTGATTGTTGGCTGTTTATAATTTCTATTAATTGTGAATTCTGATTATAACAAAGAGTTAAAAAAATTTTTA